TTCCCACAAAAAATAATTAACCTAGGTCAATTTTTAGGTATAGTTCCATTTTGAAGAGCGCCTCGGACTTAATGCTTTTTGATAGTATTAGGTAGAATTTATCAAGCGATTTCGATGAAATTTCGTACATAGGGTTCTCAGTTGGTGCAATACCTCACCACAAAATATAATCAACCTAGGTCCATGTTTAGGTGTAGTCTCCTTTGGAGGGCAACTCGGATTCTGAGCTTAGGGTTTTTTACATCCTGATCCTTAGGTTTTTTTAAATATTTTTTTTTCTGGGCTTAAATTTTTTGAAAAATTAAAATTATTAATTACGCTACCGCATGTCTTAGTGTCAACCATGCGTTCGACATACATACATTTACACCATAATTATCGAGCGTAACCAAAAAAGGTGTCGACGTGATATATTAACACATTTTAATGCCAAGAAAATGTTGGTGACTATAATTTAAAATTAAGACCTGCTATTATAAACAATGAAAAAGATCTATTATTCAAAAAAAAAAAAAAAAATTCAATACAGAAAATTATTTCAGAAATTTGTGTATTATCGAAATACAAAAATACATTTTGGGGAATAGTTAAAACTTGGAAATATTTTTATTGTGATTAAAAATTGGAAACTATTTTTTATAGGTCTTTGGAAATCTCCTTGGGGATTTTTTTTTATTTCACAAAAAATCACTCAAAAAATACTCGAATTTTATTACATTTTTTTAAATAAAAGAAGCACATAATGACACTTTATATACCCATATATAAAATCGAAGTCTCACCCTCCCACTAATTGTTCAATTCCCATCACGTCCTTATTAACGCGGTGTGTCTGTCTATCAGTTACATTATTATTGTGTCAGTGTGCTGTGTGATTATGGAGCAATATTTCCGGAATTTTTTTTTCAAACCTGGCAAAAACGAACCTGCCGAGACGAAGCTTTCATTTTCAATCAGACACAGAGGTTGACCACAAGAAAAAAATATAAAAATAAAAAACTAAAAAAACTTTATAACCCAGGTTACCCAAAAACAAAAAACCTCCAAAGAAATGGTGTCATCGTTACGGTGCATTGATTCGTGGACATGATAACCGTAACGTAGTTCGGAGTCACCTACAAGTGACCAGCATGGCTAATTAATATTCTGGGTACAATTTTTATTTGTCACTCATAGCTAATGTTGGTGTGTTGTTATCGGTGGGAGATTTGTTGTTGTTGTAGCCACCATGTAAACGTAGATGCGGGCTTAAACACGTTTCGATTACAAAAAAGTAATATTACTTGGGGAAAAATTATCGATAAAATTTTTTTCATATACAAAATTTATCGATAAAAATTTTTGTGGATAAAAAAAATTATCAGTAACAATCGATAAGAATTTTTCTGCATAGAAAAAATATTGATAATACTTTTTTTATATAGAAAATTTATCGATAACAATTATTTTTTGTATACAAATTTATCGATAATTAATTTTTTGCATTGACAAATTATCGATAAATAATTTTTTGTATTGAAAAATTATCGATAAAATCTTTTTGTATAAAAAATTATCGATAATTAATTTTTCTATACCAAAAATTAATTATCGGTAATTATCAGAAACAATCGATAAGAATTTTTCTGTATAGAAAAATTATTGATAAAACATTTTGTATATTGAAAATTTATCGATAAAATTTTTTTGGTATAAAAAAATTATCGATAACAATTGTTTAAAAAAGTTATCGATAATTAATTTTTTGTATTAAAAAATTATGGATAATTCATTTTTTTGGACTGAAAAATTATCGATTTTAATTGAACTAACTATAAATTTATCGATAACAATATTTTATAGAAAAAAGAACGAAAATATTTTTCCGTATTAAAAAATAATCGATAACAATTTTCTATATAGAAAAATTATCGATAAAAATGGTTTTTGTATAACAAATATATCGATAACATATTTTTTGTGTAGACAAATTATCGATAATGATTATTTGGCATAGAAATTTATCGATAAAATCTTTTCCGCATCGAAAAATTATCGATAACAACTTGTCTGTATTTTTCCAATAAATATATTATGGATTACAATTTTTCCGTATAAAAAAATATCGATATTTTTAGGATAGAAAAATTATCAATACTATTTTTATGAGTAGAAAAATTATCGATAATAATTTTTTTATAAAAATATTATCGATAAAAAAATTTGTATAGAAAAAATTATCGATAAATTTTTTTTGTATGGAAAAATTATCGTCTATAATTTTTCTGCTGAGAAAAATTTCGATAATATCTATTTTCTATAGAAATATATCCGATAATAGCATTATTGTATAGAATAATTATCGATAACATTTTTTTTATCGATAATATTTTTTCTGGGTAGAAACATTTATCGATAACAATTTTTTGTATAGAAAAATTATCGATAATAATTTTTTGTATAGAAAAATTATTGATAATAATTGTTTTGTATAGAGAAATTATCGATAATATTTTTTTTGTATAGAGAAATTATCGTTAATAATTTTTTGTATAGAAAAATTATCGATAGTAATTTTGTTGTATAGAAAAATTATCGATAATAATTTTTTGTATAGAAAAATTATCGATAATAATTTTTTGTATAGAAAAATTGTCGATAATAATTTTTTTGTATAGAAAAATTATCGATGATAATTTTTTGTATAGAAAAATTATCGATAATAATTTTTTGTATAGAAAAATTATTGATAATAATTGTTTTGTATAGAGAAATTATCGATATTTTTTTTGTATAGAGAAATTATCGTTAATAATTTTTTGTATAGAAAAATTATCGATAGTAATTTTGTTGTATAGAAAAATTATCGATAATAAATTTTTGTATAGAAAAATTATCGATAATAATTTTTTGTATAGAAAAATTGTCGATAATAATTTTTTTGTATAGAAAAATTATCGATAATAATTTTTTGTATAGAAAAATTGTCGATAATAATTTTTTTCTATAGAAAAATTATCGATAATAATTTTTTCATCGCAGAAAAATTATCGATAATAATTTTTTGTATAGAAAAATTATCGATAATAATTTTTTGTATAGAAAAATTATCGATAATAATTTTTTGTATAGAAAAATTATCGATAATAATTTTTTGTATAGAAAAATTATCGATAATAATTTTTTTGTATAGAAAAATTATCGATAATAATTTTTTGTATAGAAAAATTATCGATAATAATTTTTTGTATAGAAAAATTATCGATAATAATTTTTTGTATAGAAAAATTATCGATAATAATTTTTTGTATAGAAAAATTATCGATAATAATTTTTTGTATAGAAAAATTATCGATAATAATTTTTTGTATAGAAAAATTATCGATAATAATTTTTTGTATAGAAAAATTATCGATAATAATTTTTTGTATAGAAAAATTATCGATAATAATTTTTTGTATAAAAAAATTATCGTTAAAAATTTTTTGTATAGAAAAATTGTCAATAATAATTTATCGATACTAACTTTTAGATTAAAGAAAAATATCTATAACTTATTTTTTGTATAAAAAATTTATCGATAACTTGTTTTTGTATATTTTTGTATTGTACATTTGCGAGAAAAATTATCGATAATAGCTATTTGCTTTAGAAATATAATCGATAATAGCTTTATTGTATAGAAAAATTATCGATAACATTTTTTTCTTATCTATAATAATTTTTCTGGGTAGAAACATTTATCGATAAAAATTTTTTGTGTAGAAGAATTATCAATAATATTTTTTTTGTATAGAAAAATTATGGATAATAATTGTTTGTATAGAAAAATTATCGATAATGCATTTTTTGCCTAGCAAAATAATCGATAAGAAAAATTGCAAAGAAAAATTATCGATATGTTTTTGCACTGAAAGATTATTGATACAAATTCCTTCGTACGAAAAAAATTATCGATAATATTTTTTTTTGAATTGGAAAATGATCGATAACAATTTTTCTGCATATAAAGATTATCGATAATAATTCTTCCATAAACAAATTATTTTTTTTTGTATAGCGGTATTATCGAAAATAATTTTTATCTATAGAAAAATTATCGATAAGTATCAATAATCGTTTTTCGTATAGATATTATTATCTATAATAGGTTTAATCTATAGTAATATAATCAATAAAAGCTTTAATGTATAAAAAAATATCGATACTGAAAAAATTACATAGAAGATATCGATAATTATTTTTCTATCATCAAAAAGAAATTTTCTGCATATAAAAATGATGGATAATAATGTTTCCGAATAGAAAAATAATCGATAATTTTCCCGTAAGAAAAAATTGATAATAATTTTTTTCGGTAAACAATAATTTTTCATTATTTTTTTTTGTAAAAATTATCGATAAAATATTTTACATAAAACCTATCGATAATAATAACTTTTTGTATAAAATTATCGATAATAAATTTTCTGCATCGAAAAATTATCGATAAACATTTTTTGCATAACAAATTATATGTATTATCGATAATAATTTTTTGTATAAAAAATTATCGATAACAAATTTTCTGTATAGAAAAATTAACAATAATTATTTTTTCCGTGTAGAAAAAATATCAAAAAGTTTTTTTTGCAGAAAATTTGTTATCGATAATTTTTTTATATGGACAAGAAATAATTATCGACAATTGTTCTATACAGAAAAGTTGTTATCGATAATTTTTTTCTTATAGAAAATTTGTTATCGATAATTTTTTTATGAAGATAAATTTTTATCGAAATTATCGACAACAGAAAATGATTGATTATTTTCCTTTCAAAAAAATTTTGATAAAATTTGTCTTAAAAACTATCGATAACAAAATAATGATCCCTTAACGACTCTCCTTTATTCATATTGTTATTTTCTTTCTCTTTCCAGTTCTTCTTTTCTCCCTGGGAAATGTTCTCTCACTCCCAGTAACCTCTCCCAAAGACCAGCTAAGAAAAAATAAATCTTTTGAGAGTAGCTCTTCTCCCACAACATGAGCGCAATAGCCAATACGGCGGCAGTGGTGGGTGGCGCCCTGACGGCGGCCACCAGTAACAGTTGGTTCATACCCACCCTACTAGCAGCAATTGCCTATTTTCAATATGAAGAAATTATGGATCCCGAGTCGAAACCCATTGATACCGCAGGAGATGAAATCAGAGATCACTACGATTTTATTGTAATAGGAGCAGGATCGGCGGGGGCGGTGGTGGCAAATCGTTTAACGGAAGTGGAAAATTGGAATGTTCTGTTGCTGGAGGCAGGTGGCGATGAAACGGAAATATCGGATGTACCACTAATGGCGGGATATTTGCAGTTGAGTAAAATGGATTGGAAATATAAGACAGAGCCATCGGGAACCACTTGTTTGGGTGAGTAGAGGAGGAGAATTTTTTTTGGATTTAAAGAAGTTGCTAATTTGTGATTTTTCTTTTAGCCATGAACGGAGGTCGCTGTAACTGGCCCAGAGGTAAAGTCTTGGGTGGTTCCAGTGTTTTGAATTATATGTTATACCTTCGAGGCAGCAAACATGACTACGATGCCTGGGAGGCCTTGGGCAACCCCGGCTGGAGCTATCGTGATGCTTTGTATTATTTCAAAAAATCAGAGGACAATACCAATCCCTATTTGGCCAGTACCCCTTATCATTCGACGGGTGGATATCTAACGGTGGGAGAGGCTCCCTATCACACCCCATTGGCGGCAAGTTTTGTTGAGGCCGGCGTTGAAATGGGCTATGAAAATCGCGATTTGAATGGTGAAAAGCAGGCTGGCTTTATGATTGCCCAGGGTACTACGAGGCGTGGCAGTCGTTGCAGTACCGCCAAGGCTTTCTTGAGACCGGCACGGCTCAGGCCCAATTTACACATTTCCATGAATTCTCATGTCACCAGGATTATGATTGATCCTGTCACTAAGTTGGCATTTGGTGTGGAATTTGTCAAGGACCAGAAGCTGTATCATGTGCGAGCCAAGAAAGAGGTAATTTTGTCCGGAGGTTCCGTCAACTCTCCCCAGCTGTTGATGCTGTCGGGTATTGGACCTCGCAAGGAATTGACCAAACATCGCATCCCTGTCATCAAGGAGCTGAATGTGGGAGAAAATATGCAGGACCATATCGGATTGGGTGGTCTGACCTTCATGGTCAACCAACCGGTGTCGATTGTGGAAAATCGTTTCCATTCCATGTCCACGGTGCTGCAATATGCCGTCTTTGGTCAGGGTCCCCTCACGATTTTGGGTGGTGTTGAGGGTCTGGCCTTTGTCAATACAAAGTACGCCAATGCCACCATGGATTGGCCGGATATTGAATTCCATTTTGTCTCAGGGTCAACAAATTCCGATGGTGGTAATCAGCTGCGAAAGGCCCATGGCCTTACGGATGCCTTCTATCGTGCGGTGTTTGAAAAGATCAACAATCATGATGTCTGGAGCATTATACCTATGTTACTTCGGCCTCGTAGTAAGGGTTCGATAAAACTGCGTTCGGGCAATCCCTTCGACTATCCTTACATTATACCCAATTACCTGACCGATGATTTTGATACAAAAACTTTAATAGAAGGTGTGAAGATTGCAGTGGCCCTATCACGGACCCAGGCGATGCAGAGATTTGGTTCTAGGCTTTCAGCCATAAAATGGCCGGGATGCCAACATTTGCAAATGTTTACCGATCCCTATTGGGAATGTATGATCCGTCATTACACTGTGACAATTTATCATCCGGTTGGTACCTGTAAAATGGGTCCCTATTGGGACCCCGAGGCCGTTGTGGATCCACAACTGAGGGTCTATGGTATTCGTGGTCTACGTGTCATCGATGCCAGTATAATGCCGAATTTGGTTAGTGCCAACACAAATGCTCCCGTCATTATGATTGCCGAAAAGGGTTCGGATATGATTAAGGAATTTTGGATTAAAAATACGGTGGTGTAGGAGGAAGGAGGGAGAGTAAGAGCGAGAGAATGCTCGTTAGAGGTCCAGTGTATGAGAGTGGAGACCAGTGAATGAATTATTTTTTAAATTATTTTTTAAGTTATGTGAAACCAAATCGAAAAAACTGTATTTAGTGTGCCTGTCATAGTTTAGTAATTTTTTTTATATAGCAACAACAACAAAAATTATTTATTTAAGAAGAAGAGGAAAGAAATGACAATTTATTTATAAAAATTATGATATTAAACTATAAAATTAGGTTAAGTTAAATAGTCCTTAAATTAAAATATACAAATAAATTATTAAAATATATAAAAAAAAATATTATTCTCTATATTCGGTTCATAATTATGGTCTTTGGTATACTTTGCGCACATAGGTCTAGGTCCATTTGATCAACTAAATCTTGGTCGATTATCTTGAAATTGGCCATGATTATTAGTTGGACTTATACCTCTCCTCATGAAGAATTTAATTTCACTCGGGTCATAATTGTGGTCCCGAGAGCCATTTGAACAAGAAACAAAAATTAAGTCCTTGGTCCATTTTGCGTATCAAAGTCTAGGTCCTAAAATCCCATTAAATGTTGAGCGATTACCATCAAACTAGATATGCTTATTCAACGGATGGATCCACTTCTCCATGCAAAATTTCGTGACATTCGGTTAAGATTCGTGGCCTCTAGAACGATCCGAACAAGAAAAAAAACAAAGTCGTTGGTCCATTTTGCGCACAAAAGTCCAGGTTCTTTTGGCCAGCTAAATATTGAGCGATGATCTTCAAACTAGCCATGCTTATTTCTTCTACACATTCATTGCATAAATACCCGTCCTCGTGTAAAATTTCGTGATATTCGGTTCAAAATTGTGGCCACGAGAGCGATCAGAACAAGAAAAAAAAATAAGACGTTGGACCCTTTGGCGCACAAAAGCTTAGTTTCATTTCATCATGTAAATATTGAGCGATCATCATGAAACCTGGCATGATTATTCCTTGGACCGATTTCCTTCCCTGTGTACAATTTCGTGGCATTCGGTTCAAAATCGTGGCCTCTATAGCGACTTGAATGAAAAACAAACATTAAGTCTTTAATAAATTTTGCGCATCAAAGTCTAGGTCAAAATGTCCCATTACATGTTGAGCGATTGCCATCAAACTGGACATGCTTATTTGTTGGATAGATCCGTTTCTCCATGCAAAATTTCGTGGCATTCGGTTAGGATTCGTGGCCTCTAGAGCGATCAGAACAAGAAACAACAAATAAAGTCGATGGCCCATTTTGCGCACAAAAGCCCAGGTTCTTTTGGCCAGCTAAATATTGAGCGATCATCATCAAACTAGCCAGGCTCATTTGTTAGGCATATACCCATCCCTATGTAAAATTTCGTGACATTCGGTTGATAATTGTGGTCCACGAGAGCGATATGAATAGGAAACAAAAATAAAGTCTTTGTTCAATTTTGCGCGCAAAGGTTTATGTGCATTTGACCATGTAAATATTGAGCGATCATCATGAAACCAGCCAGGATTATTCGTTCAATAGATTCCCTCCCCTGTGTAAAATTTGGTGACATTCGGTTCATAATCGTGGTCTCCAGAACGCCTTGAAAGACAAACAAAAACCGTTGGTCAATTTTGCGCACAAAAGTCCAGGTTCATTTGATCCGCTAAATATTAGTTGATCATCTTCAAACTAGCCAAGCTCATTTGTTGGGCATATCCTCATCCCTATGTAAAATTTCGTGGCATTCGGTTGAAAACTGTGGTCCTGGGAGCGATATGAATATAAAACCAAAATAAAGTCTTTGGTCAATTTTGCGCATCAAAGCCTAGGTCCAAATTACCCGCTAAATGTTAATCGATAATCATCAAACTAGCCATGCTTATTTGTTGGGCATATATCATTCTCCATGCAAAATTTTGTGGCATTCGGTTAAGATTCGTGGCCTCTAGAGCGATCAGAACAAGAAACAAAAATTAAGTCTTTGGTCAATTTTGCGCACAAAAGTCTAGGTCAATTTGACCCGCTAAATGATGATCGATTATCTTCAAACTAGCCATACTTATTCATTGCATAAATCGCATTCACCGAGTAAAAATTTGTGGCATTCGGGTTATAATTCCGACATCAGAAATGTTTAGGACATCAAGAACAAATAATAATAACAATGTCTTTGGTGCATTTTGCGTACATAAGTTAAGGTTCAAATGACCCGTTAAACGTACAGCCATGATCATCAAACTGGCCATGATTATTCATTGGACCGATCACCATCTTCGTGTAAAATTTCATGACATTCGGGTCATAATCGTTGCCTCTAGAGCAACATGAATCACAAACAATAATAATGTTGTTGGTATATCCTGTACATAAAAGTCAAGGCGTAATTGATCCACTAAATGATATCCAAATCGGCCATGTTTATATGTAGAACTGATCTCCTTCCTCCTGTAAAATTTCGGGATATTCGGGTTACAACCACGACCTCCAGAAAGTTTACAAAAATAAATGAAAATAATGTTGTTCCTTAATTTTTCAAACACAAAAGTGTAGGTCCAATTGACACACGATTTTTATCAAACCAGTCATGCTTATTCATTGGACTAGGGGAACAAACTTTTGAAATCCCTAAAAACCATATAACACATTCACAATATTGTTGTACATTGAAGTTTTCCTACTTCTGGAGGACGTACAGAACATACTCTATCCGTTGAAGAGAATATGATAGGTGCTCTAGGAAACAAATTATTAAAAATGTGCAAAAGATCTTAAGTAGTAGGCTAGATGTGGGCATTCAAAGGAAAAATCCATTAAATAATGGCCCACACAACAAATGCGGTGAAATATAGATGTCGCCTTGAGGTCGATAGCATAAACCATCAATCACAGGGTGAGATGTAAACTTTGCGGCTTGTGTCTTTAAAAACCCTAAAACACTTTCATAACATTGTAGTGTATTGAAGTTTTTCTACTTCTAGAGGACGCGCAAAACATTTTCTATCCATAGAAGACAATATGATAGGTGCTCTTGGAAACAAATCATTAAAAATATGCAAAATATCCTTAGTAGTAGGGTAGATGTGGGTATTCAACGGAAACAACCCATTAAATAATGACACAGCGGAGACAGACCCACACAACAAATGCGGTGAAATATAGATGTCGCCATGTGATCGATAGCAAAGGATTTAATCACAGGGTGGTATGTATATGTATACATGTCACCCTGTCCTTCAATATCCCTTGCAGGGTGGCATATACATTTTATATAGCCTTGACTGCACATTAAACTGAGCTGAGCTAGCCGCAGATTTGTAAAAACATTTTCTTCAATGCCTTCAAAAAGGCGCTTATTTTTGTTTTTAAATTAATTTAACTTTTCAATGCCTACAAATCCAAAAATATTCAAAAAAATATTTTCAAAAAATTCATAAATTTAAAAAAAAATATTTTCAAAAAATCCAAAAAAATAAAAAAAATATTTTCAAAAAAAAAAAAAAAAAAAAATCCAAAAAAAGGCAAAAAAAAAAAAAAGAAAAAAAATTAAAAAATCCAAAAAATATTCAAAACAAAAAAAATTTTAAAAAATCAAAAAAAAAAAATTCAAAAAATGCAAAAATTTTCGAAAAAATCCAAATATATACAAAAAAAAATATTTTTAAAAACCACATGGCTTGTGGTAGCTTCGAAAAAAATATTTTTATTTTCAAAAAATCCAAAAATATTAAAAAAATCCAAAAATATTAAAAAAAATATTTCAAAAAAAAAAAATAAAAAATTTTCAAAAAAATCCAAAAATATTAAATGATAGGTGCTCTAGGAAAAAATCATTAAAAGTATGCAAAAAATCCTTAGTAGTAGGGTAGATGTGGGTATTCAACGGAAACAACCCATTAAATAATGAGATAGCGGATACACCTTAAATGCGATGAAATATAGATGTCGCCATATGATCGATAGCAAAGGATTTAATCACAGGGTGGTATGTATATGTATACATACCACCCTATCCGTGTTATCCAATTAGGATTTGAGGTTTGTGCCTTCAATATCCCTTGCAGGGTGGCGTATACATTTTATATAGCTTTATATAAATATAGGCCGTTTGACTGCAAATTGAACTGGGCTGAGGTAGACGTGGATTTTTACAATTAATTTTTCAATGCCTACAAATAGGCGAGGATTTTTTTTTTAATTAATTTTTCAATACCTATCCTTAGGGGTGGATTTTATAAAATTATTTTTTCAATGCCTTCAAAAAATTTGTTTTAAGAGTAATACATTTTTTAGCCTCGACTGTTGTTTGCCAGAGCAATATTTAATTTTTGAGCTTTTCTGTGAAAGCTTTCTGTTAACTTACAATAGCTTTTGTGAACAAAATAACAGCTTCTCTGTTAAGTCAGCTATTTCCGGATGAAATACGACCGGTGACAGACGACAAAAGCAAAAACAACAATAGCGCACAAGGTAAAGAAAATTCACCGCCTTATCAGCCGGCAGGCAGCCAGGTGATGATAACTGCTGAGTGAAGCGTTGAAACAACATTCGAAATTCGATTCGATAGCAATTCAAATAACAAAAAAAAAAAAAAAAAAAAAAAAAACGAAAAAAACCAACAACAAAAAAACCACTTAGTGGCTAATTAAACTCGATGCAGGGCTATTGTTATTGTAATTATCGAAATATTCGATGTGTGTTTTTTATTGAGTTCGAGATTTTAAATAAAATAAAAAAAGTAAAACAAAAAAAATTATAAATTATTTTAAAAAAACCCGCATTTTATAGTCCTCAGGTGATCAGTAGCTACGACGATTTCATACCGCGCGTACACACAAAAATCCGAAACAAATACTAGATGCGAGATCATTATCATCGGTTGGGCGTTGGAGAATATGTCTAATAACAACGGTAAGGTCAATCAACTGTTAAGTGGATGAGGTGTAAAACAGAAAACCCGATGCAACAACAAAAATAACAACAATTAACAAATAAATTTCTTTTTTTAGTTCTGATTCTCTTTTTCGTTGTGGGGATTTGTGGCGTTTTTGCCCAGGTCAGCAATCCCCTGCTTTTTGATAATCTGGTAGCTGAGCTTTTTCAAAATTTAACGGCTGCCCGAGATGATCTGACTAATCCACAAATGTGGCCATCGGATTATGCCGAAGAATTGTTGACACAACGTTGGCCGCAGGCACACGATTACATTGTAATTGGGGCTGGTAATGCCGGATCGGTTGTTGCCAGCCGTTTGAGTGAAAATCCCAATGTTAGTGTATTGGTGCTGGAGGCAGGTGGTGATCCGCCTTCGCTTTCAGAGGTGAGTGAGAATAAATGGGAATAAATTTAAAATTTTAATTCGGAAACAAAATGGACCGATGTGGAAATCCACAAGGCGTGGATTTTTTAAAAATATATTTTTCGAAGTTACCACAAGACGTGGATTTTTTAAAAAAAACATTTTTTCAAAGATTCACAAGGCGTGGATTTTTTAAAAAACATTTTTTCAAAGATTCACAAGGCGTGGATTTTTTAAAAAATATTTTTTCAAATATTCACAAGGCGTGGATTTTTTAAAAAATATTTTTTCAAATATTCACAAGGCGTGGATTTTTTAAAAAATATTTTTTCAAATATTCACAAGGCGTGGATTTTTTAAAAAAGTATTTTTCGAAGTTACCACAAGGCGTGGATTTTTTAAAAAATATTTTTCGAAGTTACCACAAGGCGTGTATTTTTAAAAAAAATTTTTTCGAAGTTATCACAAAGCGTGGATTTTTAAAAAAATTAAAAAAAACCAAAAATATTTTCAAAAATTCCGAAAATATTCAAAAAATCCAAAAATATTGATAAAAATTTAAAAAAAAAATCCAAAAATATTTTCAAAAATTCCGGAAATATTTCAAAAAATTCAAATATCACAAATATTCAAAAAATATTTTCAACAAATCCGAAAATTAAAAAAATATTTTCAAAAATGTCGAAAATATTCAAATAAAAAATTTCCAAAAACTCCAAAAAATATTTTCAAAAATACCAAAAATATTCAAAAAATATTTTCAAATAAGAAATATTCAAAAAAATATTTCCAAAAATATTTGCAAAAAATCCAAAAATTTAAAAAAAATATATATTTTCAAAAATTCAAAAATATTTAAAAAGAATCCAAAAATATTCAAATAAATATTTTCAAAAAATCCAAAAATATTCGAAAAAATATTTTCAAAAATATTCAAAAAAAACCCCATGGCTTGTGGTAAAAAAAAATATTTTTATTTTCAGTAAATCCAAAAATATTCAAAAAAATATTTTAAAAAAATTCAGAAATATTCAAAAAAAAAAATATTTCCAAAAATATTTCAAAAAATCAAAAATATTAAAAAAATATATAAAAAATCAAAAATATTAAAAAAAATATTTTCAAAAAAAAAAATTTTTATTTTCAAAAAATCCAAAAATATTCAAAAAATTATTTTCAAAAAATCCAAAAAAAATATTTTCAAAAAAAAAAAAAAAAAATATTTTTAAAACATATTTTCAAAAAAATCAAAAAATAAAAAATTTTTATTTTCAAAAAATTAAAAAAAAATATTTTCAAAAAATCCAAAAATATTTTCAAAAAATCCAAAAATATTCAACAAAATATTTTCAAAAAATCCAAAAATATTCAACAAAATATTTTCAAAAAATTCAAAAATTATTAAAAAAAAATTTTCAAAAAGTCAAAAAATTTAAAAGAAAAACTTTTTAAAATATCCAAAAATATTCAAAAAAAACAAATTTCAAAAAATCCAAAAAATATTTTTAAAAACCCCATGGCTTGTGGTAGCTTCGAAAAAAAAATATTTTTATTTTCAAAAAAAAAATATTTTAAAAAAATCCACGCTTTATGAAAGACCCCAAAATTATGGACCCCAAAAATATTTTCAAAAAAATCCAAAAATATTCAAAAAAATATTTTCAAAAAATCCGAAAATATTCAAAAAAATATTTCCAAAAAATCCAAAAATATTCAAAAAAAAAAAAAATATTTTTAAAAAAATCCGAAAATATTCAAAAAAAAAATATTTTTATTTTCAGTAAATCCAAAAATATTCAAAAAAAAAATATTTCCAAAAATATTCAACAAACTATTTTCAAAAAATCCAAAAATTCAAAAAATATTTTAAAAGAAATCACGCCTTGTGGTAGCTATAAAAAAATGTTTTTCAAATTATTTAAAAAAAATCGATTATTCTCTGACATGCTTTTAGATAACATCAGACGAAATTTAGGACATTTTAATTGTCATCGTTGACATATTCTAGAAAAACATATTTAGTATCGGTCAATGACCTTGATAAGAACCCTGTTATCGATATCGAAACTTATTTTTGGAAAGGTTTTTCTATCACCATGACTCTCCTTAGTAAATATTGATAACGATTATAAATTCTAGAGAAAACAGATTGTGATAGGTGGGGATTTCCAATAGTGGACTCAGTTATCGATAAGGATTTGTTATCGATAAATTTTCTTTACAAAAAATTGCTATCGATATATATTCTCAGAAAAATATTTTGAATATTTTTAATTTACTATCCATCTCATCTTAGGTCTACACTTTGTCAAATCTGCTGCAAAAATCCGAATACACCTGGAACGATTATGCCGAACCGAATCCCACCAGCTGTCAAGGTATGAAGGATGGCCGCTGCTTTTGGCTAAGGGGTAAAATGATTAGCGGTACGGCGGGCATAAATGGCAATGTCTTTTTAATGGGCCGCCCTGAAGATTACGATGAATGGGAGAGTCAGGGTAACCAAGGATGGTCTTGGGAAAATGTTTATAAGCACTTCGAAAAGGCCACCCATGACGAGAGCTCCCCTGAAAATCCCAAGGGTTCGTTGGTTTTGAATAATTTCCTGAGACCCGAAGATTTTTATACCTTACGAAATATTTTGGAAAATGCCACCGAAGAGGTGGAAACGGATTACGAAGTGAAAAGTTTGGGTTTTACCCATGACATTATGGGCACAGTGGATCGTGGTAGACGTATGAGTACGGGTAAGACCTATTTGGGTAAGGTGGCCCGCTATAGGCGGAATTTGCATGTGGCCAAAAATGCGGTGGTAAGGAAAATCCTTTTCAATGGTTGGAACAAGGTGGCTGGGGTGGAGGTTTTGCTGAGGAATAAAAAGCTGTTGAGACTGCAGGCCCGCAAGGAGATCATATTGAGTGCTGGTACCTTTAATAGTCCGCAGATTTTAATGCATTCCGGAATTGGGCCATGTGATAATCTAAGGAAGCTTAAGATATCCTGCATGCGCAATTTAGCGGTAGGTGAGAATTTGCAGGACCACGGCATGATGTCGATGACATATAAATTCACCAAAAACATACCCCAACCTGAGGAGGCCGATAGCCTGACGAACACTTTCCAATATTTGGCATATCAAAATGGTAGCTTGGCCGCCAATCGGAATTTGGTGGGTTTCATAAATTCTCAAGCTTCACAGAATTTTGTCAACAAAAGTGATGTGATGATTGTGTCGGGTATCGATAAACCTCTGCGTGGTGCCAATATGTTTGAGTTCCTACAATTCCGTGATGAATTTGTGGAGGAATTTTTGAGGTTAGCCGAAAATGAGACCACTTTGGAACTGCAAGGTCTTCTCATCAAACCCAAATCTAGAGGTTCGGTAAAGCTAAAGTATCCCATCTTTGGTAGGGGTCCTGAGATCCATAACAATTATGCCAGTGTTGAGGAGGACCGCCAAACTTTACTGCGTTATATTCGATTTGTTCGTTCCCTGGAGAAAACGGAAATGTTCCGCCACTATGGTTTGGAATACATACGCCTACCTTTGGAGGAATGTGATACGTGGGAATTTGATTCCGATGATTATTGGTATTGCTACATCAAATATTTCATGATAAGTGCTTGGCATGCGGCGGGTACCTGTAAAATGGGTCCAGCAACGGATCCCACGGCTGTGGTGGATGAGAAGCTGAGGGTCCATGGTATTAAAGGGTTGCGTGTTATCGATGCCAGTATTATGCCCAACATTACCAGTGGTAATACTAATGGTCCCACCATTATGATTGCCGAAAAGGGGGCTCAAATGATATTGGAGGAGCTCCAAAGGTGGTAGAAGAGGGAGGAGAGCAGGGAGAGTGAGAGAAGAATCAGCTGCCGAACTTACCTCATCGATAACCTCATCTTTAAAAAATGTGGAAATATTGCAATTACCTGTAAATAGTCCAAAAAATTAAATAAAATAAATTAGAAGGAGTATTGAATAAATCAGCTGTTTCTCTTATTTTGAACATGTGTGGTGCATACTTTTAGGCGCAGTGGCTCACAAACACAAAATATATGACAGATTGGAGCCAAATAAACAAAAAAATTAAATTCGATTGGAAATTCGAAGATTATTTTTCTACAAAATAATTTTTTTTATCGATTTATTAATCGATAACACTTTGTTATCGAAGAGAACAAATGACAGATAACAGCTACGGAAATATTTTAAAATCCATTGGAAATTCGAAGAATATTTTTGACAATATTTTTTTTCTCAAAAAACTATTTTATCGATTTATTTATCGATAACACTTTGTTATCGATGAGAGCAAATGACAGATAGATAGAAATATTTTAAAATCCATTGGAAATTCGAAGAATATTTTTGACAATATTTTTTTCTCAGAAAATTTTTTTATCGATTTATTTATCGATAACACTTTGTTATCGATTAGAACAAATGACAGATAGCAGTTACGGAAATATTTTAAAATCATTTGAAAATTCGAAGAATATTTTTTACAACATTTTTTTTCTCTAAAGACCTTATCCTTTATCGATTTATTTTTCGATATCGTGTTATCGATGATAAATTTTCATAATAATTGTGGAAAAAAAGTAGATAATAATTGAAAACATCAATTTTTACAAATAAAAAAAAAAATATCGATACAAATTTCGATAACAATTTTTTATCGGTGAATTTTTTTTAGATAATTTTTATCGATAATAATTTATATGGAAAAACTTTGTTATCGATAATAATTTATATGGAAAAACTTTGTTATCGATAATCATTTCTGGAGAAAATCTTTTGATCGTTAACAATTTCTATATAATGCACTGTTATCGATAACATATAATCGGTGAAAAATTTTTTAGAAATGCGGTTATCGATAAAATAGTTTTGCAATAAATAATTTTGTGGAAGAGAAATTCTCGATAGAATTTTCGAAAAAAAATCTTGTTATCGATAATTATTTTCCATTGAAAAAATTAGTGCCGGTAAATATTTTTACAGATATAATGTTCTAAAGCACAAATTCGTGTTATCGATAATAATTTATATGGAAAAACTTTGTTATCGATAATAATTTATATGGAAAAAACTTTGTTATCGATAATAATTTATATGGAAAAACTTTGTTATCGATAATAAATTCTGGAGAAAATCTTTTGATCGTTAACAATTTCTATATAATGTAGTGTTATCGATATATCATATAATCGGTGAAATTTTTTTTAGAAATGTGGTTTTGCAATAAATAATTTTGTGGATGAGAAATTCTCGATAGGATTTCCGATAAAAAAAATCTTGTTATCGATAATAACTTTCCATTGAAAAAATTAGTGCCGGTAAATATTTTTACAGAAATAATGTTCTAACACATATTCGTGTTATCGATAATAATTTATATGGAAAAACTTTGTTATCGATAATAATTTTTATTGTAAACTTTGTTATCGATAATAATTTCAGGAGAAAATCTTTTGATCGTTAACAATTTCTATATAATATACAGTTATCGATATATCATATAATCGGTGAAAATTTTTTTTAGAAATGCGGTTATCGATAAAAAAAATTTTGCAATAAATAATTTTGTGAATGAGAAATTCTCGATAGAATTTTCGATACAAAAATCTCGTTATCGATAATTATTTCCCAAAAAAAAAAAATAAAAAAAAAAAAATTAGTGCCGGTAAATAGTTTTACAGAAATAATGTTCTAAAGCACAAATTAGTGTTATCGATAATAATTTATATGGAAAAACTTTGTTATCGATAATAATTTTTATTGAAAACTTTGTTATCGATAATAATTTCTGGAGAAAATCTTTTGATCGTTAACAATTTCTATTTAATGTACTGTTATCGATAACAACTTTCATTGAAACTCTTGTTATCGAGTGGAATTTTTACAGAAATATCGTGTAATCGATAATAATTTTTATTTTGAACCTTCTTATCGACACATATGTTTAAAAAGCTAGTTTTTTATACCAATTTCTCCCGATAATCTTGCTATCGATTGTCATTTTTACAAACGGTTATTGTTATCGATAATAATTTTTATTGCAAAAATTGTTGTCGATAAGAATTTTGATTATAAACCATGTCATCGATAAAAATGTTTATATAAGGTACTGTTATCGATTGCAAATTCAACCGAAAATCTTGTTATCGATTTGAGTTTTTGTTATCGCTAATAATAGTAAGTTCTAAACATTGTTATCGATAAGAATTGTTTTATGAAATTTGTTATTTATAAAAATTTCTAACGATAATTTTCTTATCGATTGTAATTTTAACAGAAAATATTGTTATCGATAAAAATTCAATTTACTACATTTTGTTATCGATAAAAAAATCGATATAAAAAATCTTGTTATCGATAAAAAATCGATATAAAAAATCTTGTTATCGATAAAAAACGATATAAGGTACTGATAACGATAACGTGAGGAATTTGTACAGAAAACAGTGTTATCGATAACAAGTCTAGTTGAAAATCATGTTATCGAAAACAATTTCTTTAAAAAATATTTTTGTCGATTGCAATTTCTTCTGAAAGTTTATTATCGATAAAAATGTCCTTAGAAAATAATGCTATCGATAAGAATTTCTTTCGAAAATATTGTTATCGATAACAATTTCCTTAGGAAATATTTTTATCGATAACAATTGCTGTAGAAAATATTGTTATAGATAACAATTACATTAGAAAATATTGTTATCGATAACAAATTCTTTATAAAATATTATTATCGATAACAATTACATTAGAAAATATTGTTATCGATAACAATTGCCTCAGATAATAATGTTATCAATAACAATTTCTTTTGAAAATATTGTTCTCGAACATGTCGATTCGAATCTGTATAAAAAATTGTGTTATCGATGATATTTCACTTAAAAGTATTTGTTATCGATAACATTGTCCATGGTAAATGTTGTGATCGATAATTATTTTGATAGAAAACATTGTTATCGGTGCCAGTTTCTATAGAAAAACATGTTTTCGATAATAATTTCTATGGAAAATGTTGTTATCGAAAAGAGATAACAGAGGAAATACTGTTATCGATATGATTTGCTCATAAAAAAGTATTAACATTATAATTTGTGTTATCGATTTTTATTTATATAGAACATCAATATAAAAATTCTATAGAAAATCTTGTTATCGCTAACAATTTCTATAGACAATCGTGTTATCGATAACAAATTCCAAGGTGAACCATGTTATCGACTCCAATTTTCAACAAAAAATCTCATTCTATTGAAAACTCTGTAATCGATTATAATTTCAGGTATTTGTTTATAGAAAATCTTGTTATTGGAAATTTCGCAAGGCTTTTCACATGATTTTCTATATGAGTCACTAACCGGTCAGACAACCCTGACCATCGTAATGTTAACAACACCACGAACCGAAAATATTACCAAAAATTACAACAACAATAAAAACAATTTTTAGCGAACTATCGAAAAAAATGTAAACAAGATGACCTATTAAAAAAAAAAAAATTCTGATGAATTGGCGAAATGGAAAATTAAACCGAAAAATAAGAAGCGGAATACTAGTTCAACATTTTTCCGAAGCAGCCATCAACAGTTTTGGACGGGAAGTTGAATTGTGAAGACGTTTAAAAAGAAATCAAACGGGGGAAAAAACAAAATTCGAATTCGGAAAATAAATCGGATTTTTAGCAAAAAGTTAAAAAAGGAAGTGCCCTAAAATGTTAACCCCTGAAGGTTATTTGGCATTCGGTCGTTTTCTGCTTACCATCGGCCCGAGTGCCATGGTCTTGCTACTACTCGTCCATGACATTCAACATCATCGTCCGGATATTGTCGATACCGAGAATCGTGTAGTTCCAAAAGGAGTTCTCGAATTGCGGGATCATTACGATTTCATAATAATTGGTGGTGGATCGGCGGGATGTACCCTCGCCTCGAGGCTTTCCGAAATACCACAATGGAATATTTTACTGCTGGAGGCGGGTGGTGATGAACCTCTGATTGCCGATCTGCCAATGTTGTATCCCGTCTTTCAACGCAGTCCCTGGGATTGGAAATATTGGACAGAGAAATCAACCCGCTACTGTTTGGCAATGGAAAATCAGCAATGCTATTGGCCTCGAGCCCGTATGTTGGGCGGCTGCAGCAGCATCAATGCCATGATGTATTTGCGAGGAAATCGAAAAGATTATGACCATTGGGCGGAACTGGGAAATCCCGGTTGGAATTATGATAATGTTCTGCATTATTTTCGAAAATTGGAAGATATGAGAGTGCCAGGTTTTGAGAAAGATCCCTATCATGGTCATGGTGGTCCCATATCGGTGGAGAATTACCGATCACCATCGCCGTTGTTGGATGTTTTTATGGTGGCGATGAAGGAATTGAATTTGGTAAGGATGGGGGATTTTTTTAAAGGAGATTTATTTACCGACAAAAAAATTTTGTTATCGATAACGATTTTATAGAACATGTTTTGGATAATTTTTCGTTACGAAAAATTGTTATCGATTGTTTTTCTTTAAGGAAAATTTTTTTATCGATAAATTGTCTTTATAAAAACATTGTTATCGATAAATTTTCTGTATAGAAAAATTGTTATCGAATTGTTATAATTTTTTTTAAAGGAGATTTACATATTTACCGACAAAAAATTTTTGTTATCGATAACGATTTTATAGAACATGTTTTTGTTAATTTTTCGTTACGGAAAGTTGTTATCGATATTTTTGGGCACAAAATATTATTATCAACAAATTTTCGATACGGAAAATAGTTATCGATTGTTTTTTTTAAGGATAATTTCTTATCGATAAATTGTCTTTATAGAAACATTGTTATCGATAAATTTTCTGCATAGAAAAATTGTTATCGATCATTTTTCTGTACAGAAAAATATTATAGATATTTGCTTTAGTGCAAACAATTTGTTATCGATAATTTTTTTTGTGTAAACACATTCTTATCGATACGTTTTGTATACTGAAAAATTGTTATCGATAAATTTTTCTGTACAGAAATGTTATTATCGATAACTTTTCTATACAAAAACATATAATCGGTAATTTTTTTATAAAGAAAAATTATTATCGATAATTATTCTATACAAGAAAATTATTATCGATAATTTTTCGATACAGAAAAGTTATTATCGATAATTTTTTGATACAGAAAATTTTCGACTCAGAAGAATTATTACCGATATTTTTTTGACGCACAAAAACTTTTATCGATCATTTTTTTGATAATATGAATAGTTATCGATAATTATTCTATGCAAAAAAAATAATTATCGATCGTTTTTTGATTAGGAAAAATTGTTATGGATAATTGGTCTATGCCGAAAAATTGTATCGATAATTTTTCTATACAAAAATGTTATTATCGATAATTATTCTATACAAAAACATATAATCGGCAATTATTTAATAAAGAAAAATAAGTGTCGATAATTCTTCTATACAAGAAAATTATTATCGATAATTTTTCGGTAAAGAAAAGTTATTATCGATATTTTTTTGATACAGAAAATTTTCGACTCAAAAGAATTATTACCGATAATTTTTTGAAGCACAAAAACTTTTATCTATCATTTTTTTTTTTTTTTTTGATAATATGAATAGTTATCGATAATTATTCTATGCAAAAAAATAATTATCGATCGTTTTTTGATTAGAAAAAATTGTTATCGATAATTGTTCCATGCCGAAAATTTTTTATCGATAATTTTTTATGCCAAAAAAATTTTATCGATAATTTTTTATAACGAAAAATTATTATCGATAATTTTTTTTGTACCGAAAAAATAATTGTCGATAATTTTTTCATACACAAAAATTGTTATCGACATTTTTTTAAATTTATTTTTTTATTCGATATAGAAAACTTTATAATCGATAATTTTTAGAAATGGAAAAGTTGTTATCGATAATTTCTTGAAAAGGAAAATTATTATCGATAATTTGTTGATAAGGAAAAATTATTACCGATATATATGCTATACAAGAAAATGTATCGATATATTTTTATCGATAATTTTTCTATACACAGACATTATTATCGATGATTTTTCTTTACAGAAAAATTGCTTTCAAAACTTTTTCTATACTGAAAATTTGTTTTCGATAATTCATCTATTCAAAAATATTTTTATCGATAATTTTTCTTTACCGAAAAAGTATTATTGATAATTTTAGAAGCGGGAAACTGCTATCGACTATTTTTCAGTGCAGAAAATTGGTTTTCGATAAATTTTCTATGCAGAAAAAATTTAATCTATGATTCTTCTATGCAAAAAAATATTATCGATAATAATTTGATAAAGAAAACATATTATCGATTATTTTTCAATGCGGAAAAATTGTTATCGATAATTATTTGAAAGAAAAAAATTATTATCGATTATTTTATGATACAAAAAATTATTATCGATAACTTTTATACTCCAAAAAAATAATTATCGATCATTGTAAAATGTTATCGATAAGTTTTTAATACAGAATATTTTTTATCGATCATTTTTCTATACAGTAGAGGTCTTGTGGATAACTTTTTCGTGCATTAGTTATGTTATCGATAAATTGTGTCTACATAAAATGGGTTATCGATAACTTTTTTATGTAGCCTATAATTACTCCATATAGTCCAATTGTTATCGATTATTTTTCCTTTGCATTATTTTTTCTTATTATAATTTCTAGGTTAATCCCTATCACGATTTTAATGGTCGATCCCAAACCGGTTTTGCGGTACCCCATGGTAGTTTACGCAATGGTCTACGCTGTAGCGCGAACAAGGCCTATATACGACCGGTGTGGAAGCGGCGTAACTTAGACGTCGTCCTAAATGCCTTTGTCGAACAAATCATAATAGATCCCCGGACAAATGAGGCAAAGGGGGTGCTTTTCGAATGGATGGGTGGTAAACATAAGGCCGCAGCCAAGAAGGAGGTCATTTTATCGGCTGGTGCCATAGCCAGTCCCCAGTTACTAATGGTGTCGGGTGTTGGACCCAAAGCTCAACTTCGGAAATTTGATATTCCTGTACTCAAACATTTACCCGGTGTCGGAGGTAATATGCAGGATCACATATCGACAACGGGTGCCACGTATGCCGTGAAAAATACCCTGACAGGAAAACGTTTATCCTTTGTGGTGCCCGAGGAGATGACTGTCGAGTCGGTGGATAAATTTATCCACAAAGAGGATAGTTTCTTTTATGCAATGCCTATGTCCGAAGTTATGGGCTTTTGGAGTAGTAAATATCAAGATCCGAAATTGGATTGGCCCGATGTGCAATTCTTTTTGGGTAGTGTCAGCTATAGTTCAGATGGTGGTATGATTGGTAGGAGAGGAGGAGCGGTTTCATTCTCCAACTATGCGGAGACTATGGAACCGCTACTCTACAAGGATTCTTTTGTGATTACACCTCTGGTGATGAGACCGAAAAGTCGTGGTTGGATTGAGCTGACATCGGATGAGGTGAGGGATCATCCGAAAATACATGCGAACTATTATGATGATCCATTGGATATGGCAATAATGGTAAGTGAGGAAGGGCGGGGAATGAAAAGAGATTGAAACAAAATTTAATGATGATTTTTTTCTCCCAGGTGGAGGCTTTGAAATTCGGCCATGAGTTGACCCAGGCCCCAATACTCAGGCGCCTGAATGCAACTTTGAATATTTATGTGTGGCGTGACTGCCCTGAGGTGGAGTACCTCAGCGATGCTTTTTGGGAATGTTTGGCACGCTATTATTCTCAAACGATTTATCATCCGGTTGGCACGTGTAAAATGGGTCCCTATACAGATCGTTATGCTGTTGTGGATCCCCGGTTGAGGGTGCATGGTATGAAGAGACTCCGTGTTATCGATGCTAGTATTATGCCCACCATAACCACGGGGAATACAAATATACCGACCATTATGATTGGAGAGAGGGGTGCGGATATGATCAAAGAAGATTGGCTGAAATCGCGAAGTGCTTATTGAAATGACGATTTTTAAGTGTGTGTGTGTGTATGTGTAAAATAAAATAACAAATACTTGAAAAGAGGTCATTGATAAAATTTTATTTTTCATCATGAGGTCAACAACCTCTGGCGTATCTTGTAAAAAATATGAAGGGGAGAGAAAATATTCAACTCAGATGCGTATTACAGGCCACTGTTCATATTGACACGCATTGCCTGTATGGGACGTGGTGATTCAAGCATGCCAGCTGCATTTAGGAAATCGGCACCTTGCTTCAAAAGAAACTCCATTAGAGCTGAAAAGCAGGAAGAGAAAAAGATAGGTTCGGAAATTGTTTGTTGAGAAAAAAATCCTGCTTACCATCTTGAAGATCAGTCACACTAGCATCATCGTCATCCTCACCATCGGCATGATGGATCCGTAACATATGACCCTTTTTTTGTTGGTCCTGTGGAGGTTGAATGTGGTCCTTACCATGGTCTTGTACGATATTCTTTAGGCCTTTGGAATTTTCCAAATCGATATCGTCCTTTGGCTTGAATAATTCACGACCTTGTGGTGCTGCCTGAACACCACCCTTGACAGAAGGTTTTATTATGCCCAACAGGATAATTAGACCCACAACTGGAATTTTCCACAAGTTCGACTGCATCTGCATGCTTAACGTTTGAGTACTGAATGTAAACTGATCTTCAATTTGTTGCGGATGCTGCACCTGTTTCAAAATCGTTATCGATTGGAAAGTGTTGAATTCTTATTTGAATTTTTGGCCGATACCCTACAGCAGGTCTGATGAGGTTTGGAGGTCGTTTTCGAAAAGAAAAATTTAAAAACATTTTTAAAACTCCACAAGTAAGTGGAGGCCATGAAAAAGATTTAAAAAAAAATCCACGCCAAATTGTAGGCTTTGAAAAAGATTTAAAAAGAATCCACGCCTAATTGTAGGCTTTGAAAGAATAACCTTAAAAATCTGCGCCTAAGGGTAGGCATTGCACCCACATAGGCATCCACGCCTAAGTAGAAGCCATGAAAAATATTTTTTAAAAATCCACGCCTAAGTAGAAGCCATGAAAAATATTTTTTAAAAATCCACGCCTAAGTAGAAGCCATGAAAAATATTTTTTAAAAATCCACGCCTAAGTAGAAGCCATGAAAAATATTTTTTAAAAATCCACGCCTAAGTAGAAGCCATGAAAAATATTTTTTAAAAATCCACGCCTAAGTAGAAGCCATGAAAAATATTTTTTAAAAATCCACGCCTAAGTAGAAGCCATGAAAAATATTTTTTAAAAATCCACGCTTAAGTAGAAGCCATGAAAAATATTTTTTAAAAATCCACGCCTAAGTAGAAGCCATGAAAAATATTTTTAAAAATCCACGCCTAAGTAGAAGCCATGAAAAATATTTTTTTAAAAATCCACGCCTAAGTAGAAGCCATGAAAAATATTTTTTAAAAATCCACGCCTAAGTAGAAGCCATGAAAAATATTTTTTAAAAATCCACGCCTAAGTAGAAGCCATGAAAAATATTTTTTAAAAATCCACGCCTAAGGATAGGCATTGGAAATTTAATTTTAAAAAAATCCACGCCTAAGGATAGGCATTGAAAATTTAATGTTAAAAAATCCACGCCTAAGGATAGGCATTGAAAATTAAATTTTTATTATCCACGCCTTAGGATAGGCATTGAAAATTTAATTTTTATTATCCAAAAAAATTTAATTTTTTATTATCCACGCATTGAAAATTTAATCTTAAAAAATCCACGCCTAAGGATAGGCATTGAAAATTTAATTTTAAAAATCCACGACTTAGGATAGGCATTGCAAATTTAATTTAAAAAAAATCCACGCCTTACGATAGGCATTGGAAATTAATTTTTAAAAATCCACGCCTTACGATAGGCATTGAAATTTTTATTTTAAAAAAATCCACACCTTAGGACAGGAATTGGAAATTTAATTTTAAAAAATCCACGCCTTAGGATAGGCATTGAGAATTTAATTTTAAAAAATCCACGCCTTAGGATAGGCATTGAAAATTTAATTTAAAAAAAATCTACTTCTTAGGATAGGCATTGAAAATTTAATTTAAAAAATCCACGCCTTAGGATAGGCATTGAAAATTTAATTTTAAAAAATCCACGCCTAAGGATAGGCATTGAAAATTTAATTTTAAAAAATCCACGCCTAAGGATAGGCATTGAAAATTTAATTTTAAAAAATCCACGCCTTAGGATAGGCATTGAAAATTTATTTTTTTATTATCCACGCCTTAGGAGAGGCATTGAAAATTTAATTTTTTATTATCCACGCCTTAGGATAGGCATTGAAAATTTAATTTTTTATTATCCACGCCTTAGGATAGGCATTGAAAATTTAATTTAAAAAAATCCAGGCCTTAGGATAGGCATTGAAAATTTAATTAAAAAAAATCCACGCCTTAGCATAGGCATTGAAAATTTAATTTAAAAAAATCCACGCCTTAGGATAGGCATTGAAAATTTAATTTAAAAAAAATCTACTTCTTAGGATAGGCATTGAAAATTTAATTTAAAAAATCCACGCCTTAGGATAGGCATTGAAAATTTAATTTTAAAAAATCCACGCCTAAGGATAGGCATTGAAAATTTAATTTTAAAAAATCCACGCCTAAGGATAGGCATTGAAAATTTAATTTTAAAAAATCCACGCCTTAGGATAGGCATTGAAAATTTATTTTTTTATTATCCACGCCTTAGGAGAGGCATTGAAAATTTAATTTTTTATTATCCACGCCTTAGGATAGGCATTGAAAATTTAATTTTTAAAATCCACGCCTTAGGATAGGCATTGAAAATTTAATTTTTTTAAATCCACGCCTTAGGATAGGCTTTGAAAATTTAATTTTTAAAATCCACGCCTTAGGATAGGCATTGAAATTTTAATTTTTTACTATCCATGCCTTAGGATAGGCTTTGAAAAGTTTATTTTGAAAAATCCACGCCTTAGGATAGGCATTGAAAATGTAATTTTTAATATTCACGCCTTAGGATAGGCATTGAAAATTTAATTTTTTATATCCACGCCTAAGGATAGGCATTGAAAAAATAATTTAAAAAAATCCACGCCTAAGGTAATGGTCGGAAAAAATATTTAAAAAAAATTGTCATCCCTGTGTAAATTGTGTTCCACTTTCTAAAGTCGGTGTTCGATGAAATTTTCCTCACACAGTTTCCTTCCTTATTCTCGCAATAAAATTAAAATGCAATTTATTATTTTTCCAATTTGTTCCCGATCAACCTCACGCCATAAATTTCAAATCTAAATTTTTGTGTGGCGATTTTTTTTTTTGATAAACCCACTGCCGATATTGATTGACGTGATTGAATTCAGGTACATAATTTCGTCGATGTTGGACCTTAGCAGTAGTGTGGCTAAAGTCAGAGATAACAACAACAACAAATTGGTGGGGAAGTTAATGCTTTTTTTCCAGCTTATTATTTATAAATAAACAGCCAACAACAACAACAAAAACACTAACAAAAATTTTCAGCAGCAATAACAAAATACCTGCCGAACATTGTTGACATGTTATACCAGTTTTTTACGATTTTCTGCTGCCTTCTGTTGGGTGGTTTGGCGCGTGTGTACGTCGCCACCTTGCGATTCCATCGGGTGGAAAAAACAAATATTTGCGATCTTACCATATGTGGTAAAAAAGAATCAGAAGTGCATTAACGATATGACGACGACCGAGTTTCAATCGCGTTCGATATGCTGTGGCGTTGTGACGATGTTGTGCGACGTCGGAATGCTGCCGCAGCAGCAGCAATGAGGAAAATTTCTGGTTTATTCATGAAGTTTTGTCTCTGTTGTTATTGTTGTTTTAATTGACGTTTAGCTACATAATAACTTGATGCAGAAATTTTAAAGTTTTGTAAAGTTTGGTAATGGGGACTGGGGAAATTCCCTACAGCGGGTAAAATTTGAAAAAAATATTTTTCAAAGCCGAAGATTTTTTAAAAATATTTCTGTGGCCTACAAATGGGCGTGGATTTTTTTTAAATATTTTTTTCAAAGCCTAAAAATAGGCCTCGATTTTTATAAATATTTTCAAAGCCAAAAAATAGGCGTGGCTTTTTTTAATTTATTCTTCAATGCCTATCCTAAGGCGTGTTTTCTTAAATTTAATTTTTCAATGCCTATCCTAAGGCGTGGATTTTTTAAACTTATTTTTTCAATGCCTATCCTAAGGCGTGGATTTTTTTAACTTATTTTTTCAATGCCTATCATAAGGCGTGGATTTTTTAAACTTATTTTTTCCATGTCTATCCTAAGGCGTGGATTTTTTAAATTTATTTTTTCAATGCCTATCCTTAGGCGTGGATTTTTAAATTTATGTTTTCCATGCCTACAAATTGTCGTGGATTTTTAAATTTATTTATTTTAATGCCTATCCTAAGGCGTGGAATTTTTCAGAATATTTTTTCAATGCCTATCCTAAGGCGTGGATTTTTTAAACTTATTTTTTCAATGCCTATCCTAAGGCGTGGATTTTTTAAAATTATTTTTTCTATGCCTATCTTAAGGCGTGGATTTTTTAAAATTATTTTTTCTATGCCTATCTTAAGGCGTGGATTTTTTAAAATTATTTTTTCTATGCCTATCTTAAGGCGTGGATTTTTTAAAATTATTTTTTTCAATGCCTATCCTGAGGCATGGATTTTTTTAAATATCCCAAAACTATTTAAACCTATTGTAGGGTATTCGGCAAAGTTTCAAATAAAAATTCAAACATTTCCAATCGATTACGATTTTGAAATAGGTGTGTTGGATCAGCAACAAATTGAAAATCAGTTTACATTCATAATTCAAACGTTAAACATGCTGCCAATCAATATGTGGAAAATTCCAGCTGTGTTTCTGGTTATCCTGTTGACCATACTACAACCATCTATCAAGGGTGGCGTTGAGGCAGGGCCACAAGGTCGTGAATTATTTAAGCCGAAAGATGATATCGATTTGGAAAATTCCAAAGGGCAAAGTGTAGAAAAACGCCAAGTGGTGGCCAAGGATTCAGAGATACAAGCCACCAATGAGCAGGAAGCGACAGTGAAAACAAGTGACATCAAGGAAATTGAAAGTGACAAGGAAACTGAAAGTGACAAGGAAATTAAAACAAGTTCCGTACCTGAAGAGCACAAGGAAATTTTGGAAAAGCCTCAAGAAAATCAGGAACAACAACCTGAAAAGCCACCTAAAGAAGTTCCTGTAAAGTTTGCGAAAGAGGATCACAAAAAGAAAGCCTCACAGGAGCGCGGAAAGAAAACCGCCAGAGGTAATCAAATGAGAGATATCATACAGGAGCATGGCAAGGATCATTTTGTGCCACCAGAGGATCAACCGAAAAGAGGTCACAAATTAAAGACACGTCAAACCGATGCCGATGATGCCAGTCAAAGTGATATTGAAGATGGTAAGCAGGACAATTTTCTTAAAAAAATAAATTCCGAACCTTTCCTAATTTCTTGTTTCCCTTCCCCTTTCAGCTTTAATCGATTCTCTGTTGAGGCGAGGTACCGATTTCATAAATGCCGCTGGCATGCTTGAATCTCCACGTCCCGTACAGACAATGCGTGCCAATATGAACAGTGGCCTGTGATTTGCATGCTGAGTTTGGTGCTTGTTTTCTTCGCCTCCTTCGTTCTTCTCCTGCTGACTGATACACTGCCAGCGGTAATAGACCTCATGACCAAAAAATTTAAATGAAAATGTATATACACAGGCCGGACAAGTGATAAGAGTTACAAATAAAAAAAAAAATAGTGTGACGTAGTCGTTTAAGATGAAAGGAAATAAATCGGGTGCTACTTAAATAAATGGCCGATTTTTCTTTAAATATGGCGGAAGTTGTTATCGTTGAATTTTCCAGTTTTTTCGGAGCATTACCTTAAGAGTGGATTTTTTCAGAATATTTTTTCAATGTCTATCCCAAGGCGTGGATTTTGTAAGAATATTTTTTCCATGCCTATCTTTAGGCGTGGATTTTTTAAGAATATTTTTTCAATGCCTATCTTAGGGCGTGGATTTTTTAAGAATATTTTTTCAATGCCTATCCAAAGGCATGGATTTTTTAAGAATATTTTTTCAATGCCTATCCCAAGGCGTGGATTTTTTAAGAATATTTTTTCAATGCCTATCCCAAGGCGTGGATTTTTTCAGAATATTTTTTTCAATGCCTATCCCAAGGCGTGGATTTTTTTCAGAATATTTTTTCAATGCCTATCCAAAGGCATGGATTTTTTAAGAATATTTTTTCAATGCCTATCTTTAGGCGTGGATTTTTAAAGAATATTTTTTCAATGCCTATCCCAAAGCGTGGATTTTTTAAGAATATTTTTTCAATGCCTATCCCAAGGCGTGGATTTTTTAAAAATATTTTTTCAATGCCTATCCCAAGGCGTGGATTTTTTAAGAATATTTTTTCAATGCCTATCCCAAGGCGTGGATTGTTTAAGAATATTTTTTCAATGCCTATCCTAAGGCGTGGATTTTTTAAGCATATTTTTTCAATGCCTATCCCAAGGCGTGGATTTTTCAATACCTATCCCAAGGCGTGGATTTTTCAATGCCTATCTTTAGGCTTGGATTTTTTAAAACTATTTTTTCTTCTTCCCTACCCCCTAACTCCATTAGTTTAATGAACTTGACAATAAGCGGATAAATTACAGTTAACATGAACTCGTGCCTTGTCAATTAATTGACATTTATTTGTTGGAGTTTTTTCTTGTTGTTGTTGTTATTCTTATTGAGTTAAAACACAAAGCCGTTTGATGTATACCAGCAACAAAAAATGTTATCGTTTGCACTTTTCATTGTTGAAATATAATTAACGACAATTAATTGTATTTTATTTGTAAAAGATATATAACAACAACAAAACAGAAACAGATAAACATACACGCACACACATAAGAGAGCGATTAATTTAGTTAAATAAATTCAATTGTTATATAATTAAAAAAAATAGAATAAATATGGCAAAGGTTATGCTAACAGGTAGTCCCTGAAAAAAATATTTAAAAAATTAATCTTAAAAAATCCACGCCTAAGGTTAGACACCAAAAATGAGTCTTAAAAAATCCACGCCTAAGGTTAGACACCAAAAATGAGTCTTAAAAAATCCACGCCTAAGGTTAGACACCAAAAATGAGTCTTAAAAAATTCACGCCTAAGGTTAGACACCAAAAATGAGTCTTAAAAAATCCACGCCTAAGGTTAGACACCAAAAATGAGTCTTAAAAAATCCACGCCTAAGGTTAGACACCAAAAATGAGTCTTAAAAAATCCACGCCTAAGGTTAGACACCAAAAATGAGTCTTAAAAAATCCACGCCTAAGGTTAGACACCAAAAATGAGTCTTAAAAAATCCACGCCTAAGGTTAGACACCAAAAATGAGTCTTAAAAAATCCACGCCAAAGGTTAGACAAGGCCTCTAGATTTCGGCTGGACCAATGAAAGGGCCATCATTAGCAGGACTTGAGATTTTACTAAATTAACGACGAAATTTTTATATTCCGATTTCAATCCCAAACCCGTGAGTAAAGTATTGAGTCCGAGAATATTTCCTGCACGGAAAAACATGTGATGCATTTCAAGATCGGGTTTGGTTAGATTCAAATGGGATTTAACAAAACCCACCAGCCGTGTGACTCCTATGGTTAATAAGGGTCCTCGATTGTGTATTAGTTGTTGATAAATCATATTTTGCACCTGACTGCCCTCCACTTCCTGAGGAAATTTATAGAAAAGAAAAGCCATAAAATGGTCCTGCAAATTCCGACCCACAGGTAAATTTTGTAAAATGGGTATTTTCAAAGCATGCAAATTTTCCTTGGGGCCAATACCGGAAAGCATTAATAATTTTGGGCTTTGAAATACTCCAACTGATAGAATCGTCTCCCTTAAGACCTTAACATTCCGACGCTTTTTTTGTTCCACCACAAAATCCAGGGATTCCAATGTTCGACCCTTCGAATCAAATCGCAATTTTGTGACCTGGGCATTTATAATAATTTTCAGATTGCTGCGTGAGGCTGCCTGCCACCCTACCCAAATGACCTTTGGCAGTGCCGCTGCGCCGACCCCGACTTATCGTACCCCTAACAATGGCGTAGCCCATAATTGTGTAGACCATCTAAATTTCTGATACGTGGTTGCCGCATTTCCTTAACAGCCTTAGAAATTATTTCTACGATTTCTTCATCACTCACCCCCTCGAAATTGTCGAGATCCAAAAATCCCATGGGATGACTCGAGTTACCATGATTTTTCTCAATTTTCTCTATATAAGGCTGGAGGTCCTTATAACCCGATCCAGGGTTGCCCAACTCCCGCCAACTGTCAAAATCCTGGGCAAAGCCGTTTAAATGTACCAAGCCATTAATGGAACCTGAACCACCCAGGCCTTTGCCTTGGATCCAGGAACATCTGTCATCCTCAAAGGCTTTACAGGCAAATCCACACTCAAGTCCCTAATTTCCAATAAAATTCCGAAACAAAAATCCAAATTCCTTTGTACCCACCTCTGATTCCGCCACAGGATTTCCACCGGCTTCCAGGAGCAAAATATTCCACTTGGGATTCTCACTAAGACGGCTGACCACCACAGAGCCTGCTGTACAAGCACCCACAACAACAAAATCAAATTCTAAGGGTTCGTTTGGCAGCATAACATCCTGACCATAATTGGGTGGATATTCCTCGGGATGGGTAAGACCACAACTTGCCGTATGCAGTGATTCAATTAGCAAGGTTACCAAAGCGTTCATGGTACCAACACTGGGTGCAGGACACTGCGGGGCTGCTGTGCTGAAAAAAATCCATGCCTATAGAAAACCCCCAAAAAATTGGAAAAAGCTTCGAGTACCACAAAAAATATTTTTGTTTTTTTTTTGTTTCTATTTTTTCTCTGAGTGTATTTCCCAGCAAATCTACAAACAATAGATATTTATCGTCTTTAATTACCCCTATAAATTGAAACAAATTTATAGACCACCCGACAAAATCCACAATAAAAATACAAATTTTTATTAGAGCTCCGCACACCTTGGCCTACGGGATTTATTAAAAAATATTTTTTCAATTCTCATTACAAAAATGTCTTTGTTAGCATTCACAACAACAACAACACCAACAACGAATAACACCTGTTCGCCACAATGTTCCGTAGCCAGTTTGGGTGCTATGAATTTTTTCATGACCCTTTTAATGGAGAGCCTCTACAAGGATCAATGTGAGATTTCCACGGAGGATATGTGGCCAGAGGATTCTGCAGGAGAACTTACAAATCAGGAGATAGGCGGCTTTGATTTTGTAGTAATTGGTGGAGGTTCTGCTGGTTCGGTGGTGGCCAGCCGTTTAAGTGAAAATCCTTTGTGGCGAGTTTTGCTGCTGGAGGCTGGCGACGATCCACCCATGGAGTCGGAGGTGAGTTGGAAGTGTGTTCTTCTTGTGGAAGGGATATAAATTCTGGGGATATTTTTTTCCAGATCCCCTTTCTCTTCACCTCGGTCCAGGCCTCGAATTATACTTACACCTATAGAGCAGTGGCCAATGGTGTGTCTTGCCGGTCGGCTCCTTTGGGAATTTGTGGCTGGTTGAGTGGCAAATGTTTGGGTGGCTCGGGAGCCATTAATGCCATGCTGTATTTTCGTGGAACCCGTGGGGACTATGACGGGTGGTGTGGTGCAGAAGGAGCCCGAAATTGGTGTTATGAAGATGTGTGGCCTTATTTTGACAAATCTTTTCGAAATGAGGCGAATTTGACCCATCCCATGGGGTATATTAGTTTGGAGGAATATGGCAACTATGCTGAGGATATTAAGGGGCTCTTTTCCAAAGGAGCGGAGGAATTGGGTGTGAAAAGGATTACCGATTTTGTGGAAAATAGTTATTTGGGTTATGGCAATTTTCGTGGCATTCTGGAGAGAGGCCAACGTAGCAGCAGTGCCAAGGGGTTTTTGGGAAGAATTGCCAAGTTCAGGAACAATTTAAAGGTGGTAAAAAATGCCCAGGTTCGCAAATTTTTGTTCAACGAAAAGGGAGATCGGGTCGAAGAAGTGGAGTTCGAATTGCAAAATAAAAGGTCGTTTAAGGTCCAGGTGGGAATGGAGGCAGTTTTATCAGCCGGCACCGTGGAATCAGCCAGACTTCTGATGCTTTCAGGGATAGGTCCTAAAGAGGTTTTGGAGCCACTGAAAATACCAGTTCGCCACAATTTACCAATTGGAGAAAATCTGCAGGATCATGTGGCCATACCCATATTCTTCTCCATACCTTCGGAAAGGACCTATCTGGATCTGCAGGATATTTATGATTATTTGAAATTTCGTAAGGGATTTTTAGCATCCATTGGTACGGGGTCCCTAAATGGTTTTATCAGAAGCAGTTCGAAATCAAAAAGTCCCTATCCGGATCTCCAACTACAACACTTTACCGTGCGCCGTGGTGCCCCCTTGGGAATGGGGTTCCTCGCGGGTTTTATGTCCAATGAAAATTTGAAAAAATATTTCGAAAATCTGGTAGACCAAGGCGATGTGGTTGTGGTGTTTATTTTACTACTCCAACCCAAGTCGAGGGGAAAAATTCAATTACAATCCTCCGGTCCTGAGGACCCTCTTCTAATCTATCCAAATTATCTACAACGACAGGAAGATGTAGAGGGACTTTTGGGAGGGATAAAATATCTCAAACGCCTGGCAAAAACCTCCACCTTTCTCCGAAGAAAGGCTAAAATGTTGCGTGTCCCCATATCGGAATGTTCGGAAGATACCGAACAATATTGGCCTTGTTATATTTCGTATTATTCTTCGACTAGTAGCCATTTGGTGGGTACCTTAAAAATTGGAGCGGAAAATGACAGTTCCGCATGTGTGGATCCCCAACTGAAAGTGAAAGGTGTACGGAATTTGAGGTTGGCCGATGCATCCATAATGCCGCAGATAACGAGATGTAATACTTATGGCCCAACGCTGATGATTGGAGAAAGGGCGGCGGATTTTATTAAGCAAGAGTGGGATGAGGGCTGAGAGCCACAAATTTTACAAAAGACTTACATGTTTTCAATTTATAACAGGTTTGGTTCGGAAATCTGGTTCCACTTGCAATGATGAGTCACCATAAAAATTACCTGTAAAGAAATGAAAAAATAAAGGAAAATAAAAAATTAATTTAATAAATATATCCATTCAGGGTAAAAAGCAAAATAAACCAACTCACAAAAATTTATTTAAAAAAAATCCACACCTAAGGTCAGACCTTGAAAAATTATTTTAAAAAATCCACGCCTAAGGCTATACCCCAAAAAAAATTTTTAGGGGTTCTCCTAATAAACAATATGTCATTAATGGCTCCAGACCTATGTTGCGGCTTGGAGCCAATAGCAACGTTTATTTTCGAATTCCTACCAGGTCAGGATCCGCAAAATAACGAAATTTATGTGAGGTATGCAGCATAGAGAAAAATGATCCGAGAATCAAAAATGCCTTCAAAATGTCCCCTTTAAATTCGGAAATCCCGAACATGGCTCTGGCCACCATTTGCGAAATTACAAACGCCAAAATTTATGCAAAAGTCTAAATTTTTATTTTTTTTTTAACATCTGACACGTTTTTGACATTTGCGGCATTTTCAACAAAATGTCGTAAACCTAACTTTTTTATAAAAACATTGTCATAAAACCCAGAAGTTTTATAAACGCCTAGGTTTTCATTTGTTTCACATCTGAGAGGTTTTTTCCACGTTTTTGACATTTTTGACAAAATGTCGTAAACCTAAAAATGTTTGACAAAATTGTTTTAAATCCCAGAAGTGTCGTAGTTGCATAAATTTGCACTTTTTTAAACATCTGAGAGGTTTTTTTTAAACGTTTTTGACATTCGCGATATTTTTGACAATATGTCGTAAACCTAAAAATGTTTGACGAAATTGTTTTAAATCCCAGAAGTGTCGTAGTTGCATAAATTTTCAATTTTTTAAACATCTGAGAGATTTTTTACACGTTTTTGGCATTTGCGACATTTTTGACAATATGTCATAAACCTAAAAAACTTATGACAAAATAGTTTTAAGTCCCAGAAGTGGCCTAAATTTTCTTTTTTTGTAACATTTGAGAAGCTTTTTACAAGTTTTTGACATTTTCGACAATATGTCGTAAACCTAAAATATTTATGAAAATTTTTCGACAAAAGATTGTAAACCTAAAAGAAACTGTATGCAATCCTCCGAAGGATTTTAATAAGAATTTATCATTTTTTAACATGTGAGAGCTTTTTGACACGTTTTGGACATTTGCGACATTTTCGACAAAATGTCGTAATTGTGGTAAACCCCAGAGTTGTTCTAAACGTCTAAATTTTCATTTATTTCACATCTAAGAGGTTCTTAACACGAATTTGACATTGGTGACATTTTCGACAAAGTATCGTAAACCTAAAAATATTATGAAAAAATTGTCGAAAACCTCCAGAAGTGTCGAAGACGTCTAAATTTTAATTTATTTCACATGTGGGAGGATTTTTACACGTTTTCTACATTTGCAACATTTTTGACAAAGTGTCGAAAACCTAAAAAATGTATGACAAAACTGTCTTAAGTCCCAGAAGTGTTCTAAACGTGGAAATTTCCATTTACTTCAAATCTGAGACGTTTTTATACGTTTTTGACATATGTGACATTTTCGACAAAATTTCGTAAACCTAAAAACATTATGAAAAAACATGTCGAAAACTCCCAGAAGTGTCGAAGACGTCTAAATTTGTATTTATTTCACATCTGGGAAGTTTTTTACATGTTTTCGACATTTTTGACAAAATGTCGTAAACCTAAAAATGTATGACAAAACTGTCTTAAGTCCCAGAAGTGTTCTAAACATGAACATTTTCATTTACTTAAAATGTGAGAGGTTTTTACACGTTTTTGACATATGTGACATTTTCGACAAAATGTCGTAAACTTAAAAAAAATAATATACAACCCCTTTCCGAACGATTTTAATTAAAATTTTTCATTTTTTAACGTCTTAAAGGATTTTTACACGTTTTTTAAATTTGCGACATTTTTGACAAAATGTCGTAAACCTATAAAAATTATTTACAACCCCTCTCCGAACGATTTTGAATGAATATTTTGTAAAAAAAAAACGTATTTTTATTATTTTCGAATGCCGCTGAGGGTTTATGCAGTTTATAGCCCGAATTCGGGTTTACAACAACAAAGTGTGTTAACAAGGCTATGTAGAATAATTATTGGTATTGTTGTTATTATTTTTTTAATTAAATAAATATTTTTTGTTATTGTTTTTTTTTTTTGATTATTTACTACCCTGTCCGATATATAAATCAAAAGCCTGAATATTCGCAAAAAGCTGGTTTACTTTCAATTCGCATGAAATTGAAAGCACATCGACCGGTGGGTTATTGAAATTTTAAATTCAAAATCTGTTTAGTCTTCGAAATGTGGCTAACAAGTGTGGCAGGCTCAGGGCCAGCTAATGCGGCAGTTTGTTCCGCCCAGTGTCCAATACCAAGTGTGGGAGCTGTTAATACCCTGGTATCGCTTTTGGTTGAGGGTATCCTATCCGCCCAATGCAATATATCGCGACCAGAGGTTTGGCCTGAGGATTATGCCGATCAGGCTCGACGGAATGGCCTAAAGGATCCTTATGATTTTGTGGTTATTGGAGCCGGTACGGCAGGTTCGATAATGGCTAGCCGTTTGAGTGAAAATCCGCAATGGAAAGTTTTGGTCTTGGAGGCGGGAGGAGATCCACCACCAGAGTCGGAGGTAAGTTTCGAAGTTTTAGGAATTTAGAGAACATATTTTAAGGTGTTTTCCTTTTAGATCCCCGATGTATTTTTCTCGATGCAACATACCCCACACTCCTATCGTTATTTCACCGAACTCGATGGTGGCTGTAGCTGCCAGGCATTTGAGGGCGAACGCTGCCATTGGCCCCGTGGCCGCACCATAGGTGGTACGGGAGCCATGAATGGCATGTTGTTTATTAGAGGAACCCGCCGCGACTATGATCTATGGTGTAAGGAGGGTGCTGCAGGTTGGTGTTATGATGAAGTGTTGCCATATTTCGCAAAAGCCATAATGCCACAGGGAAATGCCAGCCATCCCAGGGGTTATGTGACCCTAAATCATTTTGGAAGGTTCACCGAGGATATTAACACCGTAATACTGCAGGGAGCCCAGGAATTGAAGCAACCTCTGGTGGAAGATTTTGTGGAGGGGAGTTATGTCGGCTATACCTATGTTCGAGGCACCACGGCAAATGGTAAACGTTCGAGTACGGGGAAAAGTTATCTGGCCAAGGTGGCGGAACGTCCTAATCTCAAGATCATTAAAAATGCCCAGGTGACCAAGTTGAAATTTGATTCGTCGGGGAAGAAAGTCACTACTGTGGAATTTCTTCTGCAAAATAAATCTTCCCTCCAAGTCAATGTCGGACGAGAGGTCATACTTTCCGCAGGGGCCATAGATTCCCCCAAGCTACTAATGCTTTCCGGCATAGGACCTTCCGAAGTGTTGAGGCCGTTAAATATACCCCTTCTCCATGACTTACCGGTGGGTAAAAATTTACAAGACCACGTGATAGCCATTATATTTTTCCGTATACCAGCCCCACCTTCGAACCCTTTGGATAGCCTCACGGCCACCTATCAATATTTGACAAACAATTCCGGGCCTCTAAGTGGCATTGGCACCGCCCACTTGACAGGATTTATAAAAGCGGATGCAAAATCCTCTTCACCCTACCCAGATGTGGAGATACATCACATTCTGGTGCGCAGAGGTAATCGGGATGGTCTAAGGACCCTCTTAAATGGCTTCACCGTGAAGCGCGAATTCCAGGAACACATTTTCGGAGAATTGGAAAAATATACGATTCTGATGAAATTTGTGGTACAGTCGCATCCCCGCTCCAGGGGACAATTGAAGGTGAGATCAAAATCTCCTGCAGATCCACCCATAATCGAATCGGGTTATCTTCAAGACCCCTATGATATGGATATGTTAATGGCCGGTATTGATTATATGATGGCCTTGGAAAATAGCAAGGCCTATCGAAGCAATGGCGTGGAATTGATGCACATACCCATTGCGGAATGTGATAGCCTACGTTTTAAATCGGAGGAATATTGGCGTTGTTATATAAAATATTTTTCCAGTACCTGCTATCATCAATCGGGTTCGGTGAGAATGGGAGCGGTGGAGGCTGAAAGCAGCTGTGTTGATCCGCAACTACTGGTGAAAGGTGTGGAAAATTTGAGGGTGGTGGATGCCTCAATTATGCCCTATATTACCACGGGAAATACTAATGCTCCTACTATTATGATTGCGGAAAAGGCAGCGGATATGGTCAAGGGCAAATACGAGGGGAGGGGTTGAAAACATATTTTAAGATTTTTGGTAAATAAAAAATAAATTTTGTTGGGGTCTAACCTTAGGCCTGGATTTTTAAATTATTTTTTTGGGGTCTATTTCTGAAAAATTCGATCAACAGGTAAAACACCAAACCGAAGGCTTTGGTGCAGACACATCCTCCTGTAGAGATAAAGAAGGAAACCTGGTGACAGATACAGACAGCGTGCTGAGGATCTGGTAGAAGCATTTTGAAAAACTTCTGGTATCAAATAGTGGCGGTGAAGAGGATACCCCAGAACCAATAATAGATGACGGTATAGAGTGTATACCACCTAGCCAAGATGAAGTCAGAATAAGAATCAATCGGCAGATTGATTCCTATTCCTGCAAAATTAATTCGGCTATGCAGGATAACTTTCACTGGCACAAGATCAACAGTTAAAGTCGGAAAGGACCTCTCGAAGCTCTTTAATACCGAACAAGGATTCAGGCAAGGTGACAGTTTGTCGTGTGACCTTTTTAACATCCTGCTGGAAAAGGTCATACGAGAGGCAAAAGTGAACAGAAATGGCACTCTGTATACCAAACAACACCAGATACTCGCCTATGCCGATGACATCGACATAATGGGTCGAAAATTGAGAGCGGTAACAGCCACATTTCAACATATTGAGAAGGAGCCTGCCAAAGTGGGTCTGGCAGTAAACGGTGAGAAGACCAAGCTGATGGTATCAACGCCCAAGACGTCCAGTAGACTCCGTCCAACTTTGGAACTTGAGATCTACAGCTTCGAGGTAGTCAATGATTTTATATACCTTGGTACCGCCATAAACAAAACGAATGACATCAGTTTTGAAATTCGGAGAAGGATAGTGATGGCCAACCGATGCTACTATGGTCTGAGAAAACTACTCAAAAGCATGGCCACATCCCGCCAGACCAAACTCACACTCTACAAGACGCTGATACTACCCGTACTGTTATATGGATCTGAAGCATGGGTACTTACGCAAGCAGATGAGACAGCTCTTAGAGTGTTTGAGAGAAAAATTCTCCGAAAGATCTATGGGCCGATCTGCATTGACGGAGAATTTTGCCGTCGAATGAACCATGAGTTGTACCAGCTATTCTCGGACATCGACATTATTAAACGTATTGAGCTGCAGCGACTACGTTGGCTAGGTCATGTTGTGAGAATGGCGGATGAAGATGACCCAGCCCAGAATGCATATAAAAGCGAACCAGCTGATGGTTCACGCAGAAGGGGAAGTCCACGAATACGATGGAAAGATCAAGTCGAAGACAACTTTGCCAAAAATGGCTCGGCTTTTGGAACGAAAGTTCTGTCACAAGTTAGCTAAGTAAGTAAGTATTTCTGAAAATAAATTTTTGGGGTCTACTTTCAGGCGTGGATTTCTGAAAATAATTTTTTGGGGTCGACTTTCAGTCGTGGACTTCTGAAAATTAATTTTTGGGGTCTACTTTCAGTCGTGGATTTCTGAAAATTAATTTTTGGGGCCTACTTTCAGGCGTGGATTTCTGAAAATTATTTTTGGGGCCTACTTTCAGGCGTGGGGTCAATTTTCAGTCGTGGATTTCTGAAAATGAATTTTTGGGGCCTACTTTCAGGCGTGGGGTCAATTTTCAGTCGTGGATTTCTGAAAATAAATTTTTTGGGGCTCTACTTTCAGGCGTGATTTTCTGAAAATAAATCTTTTGGGGTCTACTTTCAGGCGTGGAGTCAATTTTCAGTCGTGGATTTCAGAAAATTAATTTTTGGGGCCTACTTTCAGGCGTGGGGTCGTGGGGGCGTGGATTTCTGAAAATTAATTTTTTTGGGTTTATTTTCAGCTGTGGATTTTTTAAAAATCTTTTTTTGGGGTCTACATTGAGGCCTGGTTTTCTGAAAATAAATCTTTTGGGGTCTACGTTCAGGCGTGGATTTCTGAAAATATTTTTTTTGGGGTCTACTTTCAGGTTGGGGTTTTTTAAAATTAATTAAGGGTACCTAACCTGTTGACTAGGTCAGGTTAGGTAACTAAAACCGTTCTTATCACTATTATTTATTCGACCTACCATTTGCCTACCAAATTTAGGTAGGTCACTGTTTACCTTCCCCCTCCTGGTCCCACAATTTATTTTCACTCCAGCTAACAAAGCAGCTTATCGTTCAACTAAGTTTCTCACCTAACCTTATCTCTGAATACTAAAAAAATCTACATGTCATTATTTCTAAGAGGGTTAATTTTTGTTGTTGTTTCAACAGTTGTTCGAACAGATAAGATCTCTTGTTTGTTCTACTTATAATTTAAATTATGGAAATAATTACTAACTGCCCATCTAACTGATAAATTTTATAGTTTTATATTGGCTCATAAAATGTTGAATATACATCGGAACTGATGGGTTCTGGAAGTGTTTATTTGTTTATGTAGTTTTTTTCTTCGAAGTAGAAAAAAGATAAAGCCTGTCAGAGGGATAGACTCAAAGAAAAATGTTTGTTCAAAAGGAAAAATTAAATTTAAAAATTAATTTTAAAAAATCCACGCCTAAGGTTAGACCTTGAAAAATTAATTTTAAAAAATCCACGCCTAAGGTTAGACCTTGAAAAATTAATTTTAAAAAATCCACGCCTAAGGTTAGACCTTGAAAAATTAATTTTAAAAAATCCACGCCTAAGGTTAGACCTTGAAAAATTAATTTTAAAAAATCCACGCCTAAGGTTAGACCTTGAAAAATTAATTTTAAAAAATCCACGCCTAAGGTTAGACCTTGAAAAATTAATTTTAAAAAATCCACGCCTAAGGTTAGACCTTGAAAAATTAATTTTAAAAAATCCACGCCTAAGGTTAGACCTTGAAAAATTAATTTTAAAAAATCCACGCCTAAGGTTAGACCTTGAAAAATTAATTTTAAAAAATCCACGCCTAAGGTTAGACCTTGAAAAATTAATTTTAAAAAATCCACGCCTAAGGTTAGACTCCAAAAAATGAAGTTTAAAAAATCCACGCCTAAGGTTAGACTCCAAAAAATGAAGTTTAAAAAATCCACGCCTAAGGTTAGACTCCAAAAAATGAAGTTTAAAAAATCCACGCCTAAGGTTAGACTCCAAAAAATGAAGTTTAAAAAATCCACGCCTAAGGTTAGACTCCAAAAAATGAAGTTTAAAAAATCCACGCCTAAGGTTAGACTCCAAAAAATGAAGTTTAAAAAATCCACGCCTAAGGTTAGACTCCAAAAAATGAAGTTTAAAAAATCCACGCCTAAGGTTAGACCTTGAAAAATTAATTTTAAAAAATCCACGCCTAAGGTTAGACTCCAAAAAATGATGTTTAAAAAATCCACGCCTAAGGTTAGACTCCAAAAAATGAAGTTTAAAAAATCCACGCCCAAGGTTAGACTCCAAAAAATGAATTTTAAAAAATCCGCGCCTAAGGTTAGACTCCACAAAAATCAAGTTTAAAAAATCCACGCCTAAGGTTAGACCTTGAAAACTATTTTAAAAAATCCACGCCTATGGATAGACGACCCCTATTTTTAGGTCATGAAAAACTATTTTTAAAAAATCCACGCCTATGGATAGACGACCCCTATTTATAGGCCATAAAAAACTATTTTTAAAAAAGCCACGCTTAGTTGTAGGCTTTGGAAAATATTTTTAAAAAATCCACGTCTATCGAGGCCTATGTATAGTCCCTGGAAAATATTTTTAAAAAATCCAGGTCTGTATGTGGGCTCCGAAAAAATATGCACACCTATGCTTAGACCCTAACACCTTACTGCTTACTATGTAAGCAATCCTGAGCTAGGTAGCTGATTAGGTTGATCTGATAACCTGAAACCAGGTAGTTTGTTGTGTGTGAATTGGTAGATAAGAATTCCGCCGATTTTTTTTTTCTTGAGTGTATCTTCGAATGTTGATTCAGTGTCGGCTCTGCTTCGCTGCTGCCGCTGCTTCTGCTTCACGCATCTGCTGCACTTAATGTAATCGGAATTATAGAATTTTGTTTTCCGAGAGAGACTTCAGTTATTCATTACATGGCGCAGGGCAAAGATGTCGATTAACGATCTACAAACGGGAGGTTTATTTGCGACGCAGTGTTCAAATCCCAGCCTGGGTACATTGAATGCCTTGGTATCGCTTTTAGTGGAGGGAATTTTATCAGCTCAGTGTGAGATTTCCAAACGGGATGACTGGCCAGAGGATTATGCGGAAGAGGCTTTAAGACGAGGCCTGGAGGATTATGATTTTGTGGTGATTGGTGCCGGTTCAGCGGGGTCTGTGGTGGCCAGTAGGCTAAGTGAGAATCCGGAGTTTAAGGTTTTGGTGTTGGAGGCTGGTGGCGATCCGCCACCAGAATCGGAGGTATGTTTGGAAGGGAATAATGAGTGAAAAAGAGGTGACTTAATTAATTTTTTCTTTGCAGATCCCCGCTATGTTTTTTGGAGTGCAATTCACCAATTCCAGTTTTGCCTATTTCCCCGAGCCAAATGGCCGTGCCTGCAGGGCCTTTAAAAATGAACGCTGCCACTGGCCTAGGGGAAAAATGCTGGGAGGCAGCGGAGCCATTAATGCCATGTTGTATGTCAGAGGTAATCGTGCGGAATATGACAGATGGTGTAAGGATGGCAGTGAGGGTTGGTGTTATGATGAGGTGTGGCCCTATTTCCAAAAGTCTACAACTCCCCAGGGAAATCCAAACGACCCCAAGGGTTATGTAAGCTTGAATGATTTTGGAGATTTTGATCGGCATGTGGTGGAGTTGATAACTGAAGCAGGACGAGAATTGGGAGTACCCAAGGTGGAGGATTTTGTGGAGGGTAGTTATGTGGGTTATGCCCACATTAAGGGTACTGTGACAGAGGGAAGGCGTGGTAGTACCGGTAAGGGTTATCTGGCCAAGGTGGCAAAGTTTCGCCCGAATTTGAAAATCATTAAAAATGCCTTTGTCACGAAAATTAATTTCAATGGGGAAGGAGATCGTGTGGATTCCATTGAATTTAAACTGCGGGATAAACACACCATGAAGGTGAGGGTAACCAAGGAGGGCATACTCTCAGCTGGGGCCATTGATTCCCCTAAACTTTTAATGTTATCCGGAGTGGGACCCAAGCAGGTTCTACAGCCCTTAAATATACCACTCATCCACAATCTACCGGTGGGTGAGAATTTACAGGATCACAGTTTGACCTTGACATTCCTGCGAGTACCTGCCGATCCGCCAAATCCCAAACAAATGCTCGATGATATCTATCAATATGTGGTACATCAAAAGGGTCCGATGAGTTCGATTGGCAGCACCCCCTTGGTGGCATTTTTGCAAACCGATCCCACAAAGTCTCCCCTCTATCCTGATGTGGAAATGCATCATCTTTCCTTTAATCGTGGCAATTTGTTGGGTATGCAGCTTCTGCTGGATGGCTTCTCCATGAAGGAGGAATATAAAAAGGTGTTGATGAATGAAATCGAGAACTTTGATATGGTAGCGGTATTTGTATTGGTCGCCCATCCCAAATCACGGGGGAGTTTGAAAATAAAATCTACTTCTCTCAATGATCATCCTCTAATCGATTCGGGCTATTTTGCTGATCCCTCTGATATGGAGGTACTGCTAAGAGGCATGAATTATGTCAATAAATTGGAACAGACCCAGGCCTTTAGGCAGAAGCAGGCTGAGATTGTCCACATCCCGATTGAGGAATGCGATCGTTACGAATTTAAATCCCCGGAATATTGGCGTTGTTATGCCACCTATTTTACTTCGACTTGCTATCATCAGGTGGGTACTATTAAAATGGGTTCTGCCGAGGATCCCAAAAGCTGTGTTGATCCTCAGCTCAAGCTGAAGGGTGTCCGGAATCTTCGAGTGGTAGATGCCTCCATTATGCCTTTTGTTTCGAGTGGTAATACAAATGCTCCGACCATTATGATTGCCGAAAAAGCAGCAGATCTTATCAGAAGGCAGTGGGAGGGTAAGGATGGCGAGGAGGGGCAGCAAGGGGATGTGGGTTATAAAACCGAATTGTAAATAGAGATTAAAAAAATATTTGCGTATAATTTTTTTTATTGTAATTTTTTATTATTGTTTGCATGTTGTTGTTGTTGTAAGAGATAATATTTTTTTCCGCTGAGTCATGGCGATAAAATTAGAATAATGTTTATTTAAGTGGCCGCACGAGTCGGCTGGTTTTAAGTGAATAACATTTCAGAATGTTGAAAAATAAAAACAAAAAAAAAAAAAAATTGGACTTAAAACAAGAGCTACGACTCCTTGGAGGAATTTTTTTTTTAATATTTTTTGGGGTCCATGGACAAGCTTGGGTTATTTAAAACGTATTTTTTTGGGGGTATATAGACAAGGGGGGTGGCGTAGGGGATGATAGATACCAAGCAACGGCTCTGATTGGCTTTAACATGGCGAGGGACCAGGCTTAGCTTGGTCCCTGTTTTATATCAATTATGGATACTGAGCTCCAGGTGGTGCTACCTGGGGAGCTATTTTCATCACCCGATGAAATAGTGAGCTAATATGTGCCGCGAGTTCACCCATAATAACTATCAAAAAAATGGGTTGAGGCGTCGGGTTAGTTGCCCAACCAAACCATCCCCAATGTTGACGACCCCCACAAACATATAAAAGACCACGATCTGCGTATCTGCACTTGGAATGTGCGCACGTTGTACAGAATAGGCGCAGTTTCCGCTTTGGCGGATGTACTCAAGAAGTACAAAGCCGATATTATTGCCTTATAGGAAATGCGATGGAAAGGGACTGGAGTGGTAAGTAAATCAGATGATTACGCCTTGTATTATAGCTGCCATGCAACGAGGCATGAATTTGGCTGGGGATTTTTTGGTTAACAGGAGAATAACAGACCTCCACGTCTGCAGATTCACTCCAGTAGATGAGCGAATTGCTATAATCCGTATAAAAGCAAAGTTCTTCTCTACAACAGTCTCATTTGTTCCGACCATGCTCCGACCGAAGATAATGATGAACAGACCAAAGACATATTTTACGAGCGCCTAGAAGCAGCATATGATCGTAGCCCTGGCCATGACATTAAAATTCTGCTAGGAGATTTTAACGCAAAAATCGGAAGGGAAACTATCTTTGGCCCCACCATGCCATGAAACGAGACGTGAATTTGACTGCGGATTTATGGTTAACAGGGCAGCAAAAAAAAAAAAAGATGAGAGAATTGCTATAATCCGTATAAAAGTGAAGTTCTTCTACATCAGTCTCATTTGCGCCCATGCTCCGACCGACGATAAAGATGAACAGACCAAAGATATATTTTACGAGCGTCTAGAAACAGTATATGATCGTTGCCCTGGTCATGACATAAAAAGTATGCTAGGAGATTTTAATGCAAAAATCGGAAGGAAAAATATGATTGGCCCCAACCTCAGAAAAGTCAGCCTCCACGAAGAAACATCAGATAAACGACATGAGGTTGATTGACTTCGCGGCAGCAAAACATATGGTAGTTAGCAGAACCAGATTCAAGCATCTCGATATACACAAGGCCACTCGGATTTCTCTCGATCGAACAGCGAGAAATCAAATCGATCATGTTGTGATAGACGAGGAAGGCATTCATCCAGTGTTTTAGACGTCCGATCGATCCGGGGAGCGAATATCGATTCGAACCATTACCTTGTGGCAGCCAAGCTACGCACCCGTCTTAATGTAGCAAGCAGCAAAGGTGCGATCTAATGTAACACGGAAATTTGACGTCAAAAAGCTGCAAACACAACAGATAGCAGAAACCGAAATTACCCAACTGCTTGACGAAAGCACCCCTTGTCCCGATATATACCAAAGGCCACTTGTATTTCTCCCGATCGAACAACGAGAAATCAAATCGATCATGTTGTGATAGACGAGGAAGGCATTCATCCAGTGTTTTAGACATTCGATCGATCCGGGGAGTGAATATCGATTCGGACCATTACCTTGTGGCAGCCATGGAACGCACCCGTCTTAATGTAGCAGCAATGGTGCGATCTTATGCAACACGGAAATTTGACGTCGAACGGCTGCATACACAACAGATAGCAGAAGCCTACTCCGCTGAACTTACCCAACTGCTTGACGAAAGCACCCCTTGTCCCGATAATAATATAGAAACACAGTGGCAGAGAATTGCCCACTCCTCACAAACTGTAGCAAAAGCAACACTTGCTGAACCAAAGACCATCATCAAGAAATCCCAGGTACGATCAGGAGTGTCGTAATGCTACAGATATGAAAAAAGGCAGCGTATAGGGCAACCCTGCGGACAGTAGCAGCACGTAATGCGATGGAGAACTATCGGGGGAAATGGAGAGAGCGGAAACGTATTTTCAGAAAAATGACGGAAGAACGAGAAAAACATGAGCATGACCAAATCGAGATGTACAGGTGTCAGAATGAAATCCGGAAATTTTACCAACGGGTAAAACACCAAACCGAAGCCTTGGGTGCAGGCACATCCTCCTGTAGAGATGAAGAAGGAAACCTGGTGACAGATACAGACAGCGTGCTGAGGATCTGGAAGGAGCACTTTGAAATACTTCTGATATCAAATAGTAGCGGTGAAGAGGATATCCCAGAACCAATAATAGATGACGGTATATAGTGTATACCACCTAGGCAAGATGAAGTCAAAATGGCAAACAATCGGCTGAAGAATAATAAAGTAGCAGGAGACGATGATGGGTTACAAGCCGAACTATTCAAGACTGGTGGTAAGATGCTGGTCAGGAGCATGCACCAGCTGATTAGTACAATTTGGCTAGAGGAATACATGCCCAATGATTGGAATCTCGGCATCCAGTGTACCGTGCACACAAAAGGAGACGAGACGATATGTGTCAACTATAGAGGAATAAGTCTCCTTCCCATCGCATATAAAGTGCTATCCAGCATGCATCGTATGAACTTCTGAAGCCTATGGTCAATTACATTATTGGACCATACCAATGTGGCTTCAGACCTGGCAAATCCACCATTGACCAGATTTTCACTCTGCGCCAAATCCTGGAAAAAACCCACGAAAAACACATCGACACATTCCTCGACCTATTCGTCGACTATAAAGCCGCATTCGACAGGCCTATCCGTTCAGAGGTGTATAAAGCCATGTCTGCGGTTGGCATTCCTGTAAAATGAATTCGGCTATGCAGGATAACTTTAACTGGCACAAGATCAGCAGTTAAAGTCGGAAATGGCCTCTCAGAGCCCTTCAATACCGAACGGGGATTCAGACAAGGTGACAGTTTGTCGTGTGATCTTTTTAACATCCTGCTGGAAAAGGTCATACGAGACGCAAAGACGAACAGAAATGGCACTCTGTACACCAAGCAACACATGTTCCTCGCCTACGCCGATGACATCGATATTATGGGTCGAACATTGAGAGCGGTAACAGCCACCTTTGAACAAATTGAGAAGGAGTCTGCCAAAGTGGGTCTGGCAGTAAACAGCGAGAGTACAAAGCTGATGGTATCAACGCGCAAGACGTCCAGTAGACTCGGATCAACTGTGGAACTTGAGAACTACAGCTTCGAGGTAGTCAAAAATGTCTGAGAAGGATAGTGATGGCCGACCGATGCTACTATGGTCTGATCAAAGAACTCAAAAGCAAGGCCACCTCCCGCCAGACCAAACTCACACTCTACAAGACGCAGATACTACCCGTGCTGTTATATGGATCTGAAGCATGGTAAGTACCCATGCTTCAGATCCAGATCCAAGCAGATGAGGCAGCTCCAAGTTTGAGCGAAAAATTCTCCGAAAGAGCCATGGGCCGATGTGCGTTGACAGTGAATATCGCCGTCGAATGAACCATGAGTTGTACCAGCTATTCTCGGACAGTTTTGAAATTCGGAGAAGGATAGTGATGGCCGACCGATGCTACTATGGTCTGATCAAAGAACTCAAAAGCAAGGCCATCTCCCGCCAGACCAAACTCACACTCTACAAGACGCAGATACTACCCGTGCTGTTATATGGATCTGAAGCATGGGTATTTACGCCGGCAGATGAGACAGCTCTTGGAGTGTTTGAGCGAAAAATTCTCCGAAAGATCTATGGGCTGATCTGCGTTGACGGTGAATATCGTCGTCGAATGAACCATGAGTTGTACCAGCTATTCTCGGACATCGACATTGTTAGACGTATTGAGCTGCAGCGACTACGTTGGCTAGGTCATGTTGTGAGAATAGATGAAGATCAGACCCAGCCCAGAAAGCATATAAAAGCGCACCAGCTGATGGTTCACGCAGAAGGGGAAGGCCCCGAATGCGATGGAAAGACCAAGTCGAAGACAACATTGCCGAAAATGGTCTTTCAAATTGGAAACACTGCGCAAAAGACCGACGCGCCTGGAAATCTTTTCTAAGTTCGACTTATGGAACGAAAGTTCTGCCACAAGCCAGCTAAGTATGTAAGTATCACAAGGCGTGATTTGGAGTCTATTTTGGAATTTGAATTTTTTAAAATTAAAATTTTTGGGGCCTGCCATAAGGCGAGCTAATGTTACTCAATTATATGTGACACCTACTTCCGATAACCTATAATTTTGTCACAACCTTGTTAATTAAATTTCCATATTCGATAACCCCTATCAAATTGAAAAAAGTTTCAAGTCTATATAAAGTGCAGAACACATTTGCGAAACTATTCGATATGCATTCTACCAGCATAGCTTCGCACTCACAATCACACCAACAACAATGTGCCTCACAAAGTGTTGGTGTGATGAATACCATGGTTTCCCTATTAACGGAATATTTATTGGCGGCTCAATGTGATATAGCCCGACCGGAATATTATCCTGCAGACTATGCTGAGGAGGCATTACGCAAAGGTTTGGATCGCTATGACTTTGTGGTTGTGGGTGCCGGTTCGGCAGGCTCAGTGGTGGCCAGCCGTTTAAGTGAGAATCCCAAGTGGAAAATTTTGGTATTGGAGGCGGGAGAGAATCCGCCACAGGAGTCGGAGGTAGGTAGCCTTTTTTCAAGTTAGGAATATAATTTTATTATTCTTCTCCTTCCAGGTCCCCGCCTTGTCCATGGCCTTGCGCCACAATCGCTATGTCTATGATTATTATACAGAACCGAATGGCCGTTCCTGTAGGGCCTTTAAGCGTGATCAATGTTATTGGCCCCGCGGCCGAATGCTGGGTGGTTCCGGTGCCATTAATGCCATGATGTATTTAAGAGGCAATCGCCAGGACTATGACAAATGGCTGGAAATGGGTAATCCCGGTTGGGGCTATGATGATGTGTGGCCATATTTTGAAAAATCGGTTACTCCTCCTCCAGCAGAAAATGGTACCTCTTCGCAAGATTATATTGCCATAAGCGATTTCGAGCATTTAGATGAGGAGGCCTTTCGCATGGTCTATCAGGCCGCCCAGGAATTAGGACAACCTGTATTCGAGCATTTTGGCAGGGATAATTATCGTGGCTATTCCAGTGTTCAGGGTACGGTTAGCGGTGGCTATCGCACCACCACAGCCAAGGGTTATTTGACACCAGCTTCCAGGCGCCAAAATTTACAGGTCATAAAAAATGCCCAGGTTGTGAAAATAAATTTCGATACCAAGGGTAAAAGAGTAAAATCCTTGACATTTTTGATACAACAAAAAAGGAGAACCCTAACTGTGAAAATCCGCAAAGAAGCCATATTGTCGGCTGGTAGCATAGATACCCCCAAATTACTTATGCTTTCGGGTATTGGTCCTCGTGAAGTTTTGGATCCCTTACACATACCCATTTTACAGGATCTACCGGTGGGTGAAAATTTACAGGATCATGTTTTCAATGTGGTCTTTGCCCGGTACAATGGCAGTCAGATACAATCCACCGATTCTCTGGACATGGTCTATGATTATTTGGTATATAAAAATGGCACCCTGTCCACAATAGGCAGCATGAGCCTGGTAGGCTTTATCGATGTTCTGCCAAAGACCAAAAACGATTATCCTGATGTCCAGATAATACACAAAGCCTTTAGGCAGGGTGATGAGCAGTCTTTGAAAACCTTTTTGGTCTCAACAGATATGAGGGAGGAGATTCAAGAACATTTACTGCAGGAGATAAGGGAGCATTCTCTGTTATTGTTTCTCACCCTGATCTCCCACCCGACATCCAGAGGTTCGGTGACCCTCAATTCCCGTTCCTATCAGAAACCACCCAAAATTGATGCCAACTATTTTGGTGATCCCGCGGATATGGATGTGATGCTGAAGTCCATGGAATATTTGGAACGTTTTGTCAACACCTCGGCTTTCCATGCAAGGCAGGCGGAACTGGTTCACATCCCCTTCAAGGAGTGCGATCAATTTGCCTTCAAAAGTGAAAAATATTGGCGTTGCTATTCCACTTATATGTCCACAACATGTTATCATCCAGTGGGTACCACAAAAATGGCACCAAGGGAGGATCCATCGGCTGTGGTGGATTCTCGCCTACGTGTAAAGGGTGTAACGAATTTGCGGGTTATTGATGCCTCCATTATGCCCACCATACCAGGGGTAAACACGAATGGACCCACAATAATGGTTGCCGAAAAGGCAGCAGATTTAATCAAGGAAGATTGGTTGCAGAACCGAAATATGAAAGAGGCAGGGGGAGAGCCGGAGGAAGAGGATGTAGAGGAAGAGGATAATCAATTTGAATATAAAGAGGAGGATATTAGCTAAAACATGTTCGAATAAATTAAAAAAATAAAAATAATTAACTCCTGTGTTTGGCCCTTGAAAAAAAATCCACGCCTAAGGTTAGACCTTGAAAAAATAATTTTAAAAAATCCACGCCTAAGCTTAGACCTTGAAAAAATAATTTTAAAAATCCACGCCTAAGGTTAGACCTTGAAAAAATAATTTTAAAAATCCACGCCTAAGGTTAGACCTTGAAAAAATAATTTTAAAAATCCACGCCTAAGGTTAGGCAGCAAAAAAAGTAATTTTAAAAATCCACGCCTAAGGTTAGACCTTGAAAAAATAATTTTAAAAATCCACGCCTAAGGTTAGACCTTGAAAAAATAATTTTAAAAATCCACGCCTAAGGTTAGACCTTGAAAAAATAATTTTAAAAATCCACGCCTAAGGTTAGACCTTGAAAAAATAATTTTAAAAATCCACGCCTAAGGTTAGACCTTGAAAAAATAATTTTAAAAATCCACGCCTAAGGTTAGGCAGCAAAAAAATAATTTTAAAAATCCACGCCTAAGGTTAGACCTTGAAAAAATAATTTTAAAAATCCACGCCTAAGGTTAGACCTTGAAAAAATAATTTTAAAAATCCACGCCAAAGGTTAGGCAGCAAAAAAATAATTTTAAAAATCCACGCCTAAGGTTAGGCAGCAAAAAATAATTTTAAAAATCCATGCCTAAGGTTAGGCATCAAAAAAATTTTATTCAAATTTTAAATTCAATCCTCCGCCCAGTCCTCCTTGATCATATCCGCCGCCTTTTCCCCAATTATGATGGTGGGACCATTGATATTGGCACTGGTTATGCTGGGCATAATGGAGGCATCCGCCACACGTAAATTCCTTACACCCTTTACCTTTAAACGGGAATTGACAACAGCTTCCATATCCTCTTCTGCACCCATTCGCACCGTTCCCGCAACATTATAACAAGAATTGGTGAAGTATTTCGTATAACATAGCCAATAATTACGGGATTTGAATTCAAACCGGTCACATTCCTCCATGGGGATTCGCACAATTTCCATTTGTTGGGTTCGAAACGATTTGGTATTCTCGAAATTCGAAAAATATTCCAAACCTCTTACAAAGGCCTCACGATCCTCTGGAAGCGATAGAAACTTCGATTTGATAATGGGAGGATCTTTAAAGGCTTTCGATTTTAATCGCATCCGGCCTTTGGCTTTGGGCTGGACCAATGAAATGGCCAGCATTAGTAGGGCTTGGGATTTTACTAAATTTACAACGAAATTTTTATATTCCGATTTCATTCCCAAACCCGAGAGTATGGTATTGAGTGCAAAAAAATTTCCTGCCCGGAAAAACATGTGATGCATTTCAAGATCAGGATGGGTTAGATTCAAATGGGATTTGACAAAGCCCACTAAGCGGGTGGCTCCTATGGTTGCTAGGGGCCCTCGATTGTGCATTAGATATTGATAAATCATATTTTGCACCTGACTACCATCCACTTCCTGGGGAAATTTATAGAATACGAAAGTTACCAAATGATCCTGCAAATTCCGGCCCACGGGTAAATTTTGTAAAATGGGAATTTTGAGGGCCTGCAAATTGTCCTTGGGACCAATTCCTGATAGCATTAATAATTTTGCTGAATTAAATGCCCCAGCTGATAGAATCGCCTCCCTTACGACCTTAACATTCCGACGCTTATTTTGTTCCACCACAAAGTCCAGGGAATCCAAAGTTTGACCCTTGCCATCAAATCGCAATTTTGTGACCTGGGCATTTTTAATAATTTTCAAATTGCTGCGTGAGGCTGCCACTCTACCCAAATAACCTTTGGCTGTACCGCTACGGCGGCCCCGACTTACTGTACCCCGGACAATGGCGTAACCCATATTGTGGAGGCCTCCCAAGTCTCTGATACGTGGTTGACCCAATTCTTCTGCAGCTGTAGAAATTATTTCAATGATATCCTCATCTCCCGCCTCGAAATTGCCAAGATCCAAATATCCCCGGGGATGACTGGAGTTTCCTTGATTTTTCTCAATTTTCTCAATATAAGGCTGCAGGTCCTTATAAGCCCATCCAGTGCTGCCCAACTGCCGCCAATTGTTAAAATCATGGGCAAAGCCGGTTATATGTATCAAACCATTAATGGAACCTGAACCACCCAGACCTTTGCCCTGGATCCAGGAACATCTTTCATCCTCAAAGGCTTTACAAGCGAATCTGCTCGGTTCCGCATAGAGTTTGTAAATATTTTTCAAATCCCTTAAGGCCACAAATAACAAGGGAACCTAAAGAAAAATCCAATAAAAATTCCTAAATAAAATTCTAATTTGTTTTGACCCACCTCTGATTCCGTTATTGGATCTCCACCGGCTTCCAGGAGCAATATATTCCATTTGGGATTTTCACTTAACCGGCTGGCCACCACAGAGCCTGCTGTACCACCGCCCACAATTACAAAATCAAATTCCAAGGGTTCTTTTTGCAGCAAAACATCCTGGCCATAATCAGGGGGATATTCCTCGGGATGGGTAAGGCCACAAGAGGCAGTATGCAGTGATTCAATTAGCAAAGTTACCAAAGCGTTCATGGCACCCACACTGGGTGCCGGACACTGCGGGGCCATTGTACTTAACATAACGAACTTCGAAAATAAACTTCAATTCCGATTTTCTAATCACTTGCCTATAAATACTTTGTACGTGGGGAATGCTTCGGAATTTGGGACACTTAGCTGTCAATCAATTTAAACAAATCGTTGTTGTGGAATTGGCTTATCTGAGGTCAGGTGCATAAATTAAGCTAGGAAGTGATATGGCCAACACGAAGTTCAAGAAGAGGGTCAATGTACGTTTAAACGATGGAGAATGAAATATTTTTTTTAAATATTCTTGGGTTCGGCTCCAAAAGTGAATTTTAAAAAATCAACGCCTAAGGTTAGGCTCCCAAAAATTACTTTTAAAAAATCCACGCCTAAGGTTAGGCTCCCAAAAATTACTTTTAAAAAATCCACGCCTAAGGTTAGGCTCCCAAAAATTAATTTTAAAAAATCCACGCCTAAGGTTAGGCTCCCAAAAATTAATTTTAAAAAATCCACGCCTAAGGTTAGGCTCCCAAAAATTAATTTTAAAAAATCCACGCCTAAGGTTAGGCTCCCAAAAATTAATTTTAAAAAATCCACGCCTAAGGTTAGGCTCCCAAAAATTAATTTTAAAAAATGAACCCAAAAAATATTTTTAAAAAATCCTCTCCCGAAGATGAACTCCCGAAATATTTTTGAAAAATCCAAGCCTTAGGTTAGTCCCTAAAAAATAAAGGTTAGGTTAGTTATGTTATTTTTTTCAAGTGTACCTCTCTTCTTGACTCAATATGCGCAATAACGTTTGTAGGTGCTAATTAAACTTCCGAACCACGTGTGTTTGAATAGTCGAAAGAAAAATAAAGCCTAATTGCAGTTGGAGCTGAGCCGAAAATTTTCAGTTAACTGCCAAATTTTGAAGAGACAGCATGACGGTGGCGATTCCGACTACCTTTGGCAATCAATGTCCCGCAAATAGTGTGGGAGTGGTAAATACATTGTTATCAATCTTGGTGGAATCTGTGTTGAGAGGTCAGTGTAGTTTGGAAAAGGAGGGAAACTATGCTCCGGACTATGCCGAAGAGGCTGTGAGGAGGCGTTCGGTGGAAAATTACGATTTTATTGTAGTAGGGGCTGGTTCCGCAGGATCGGTATTGGCCAGCCGTTTAAGTGAAAACCCAGAATGGAAAATATTGTTATTGGAAGCTGGCGCTGATCCACCACAGGAGGCGGAGGTAAGGAGGAGAGATAAGAATAGGTGATTTATTTATTTATTTTTTTGTTCTCCCCCAGATCCCAGCTGTATTCCCCAGTCTCCAGCACACCAACTACACCTATAATTATTTTGTGGAACCTAGCGCCCGAGCCTGCAAGGCTTATAAAAATGATCGCTGCTATTGGCCAAGGGGTAAAATGGTGGGCGGTTCTGGAGCCATCAATGCCCTGATGTATATCAGAGGCAATCGTGAGGACTATGACAGCTGGTTAGACTTGGGCAATCACGGTTGGGGTTTTGATGATCTCTGGCCTTATTTTAAGAAGTCTGTTCGGCCCCATGATAACTTGAGCCACCCTAAGGGTTATGTGGATATTGGAGAATTTCATCTCTATGATAAGGATATTTTGGATTTAATTTACCGCGGAGCTGAGGAAATGGGCCAGCCGATACACAAGAGATTTACGCATGATCATATCTTGGGTTATTCTCGCCTATGGGGTACGGTGAAAAATGGTCAACGCACCACATCGGGTAAGGGGCATTTGGGTAGAGTCGCATCGCGAAGGCCAAATTTGAAAATCATTAAAAATGCCCAGGTGACAAAAGTGAATTTTGATGAGTTCGGCAAACAGGTCACCTCGGTGGATTTTATTTTAAACCAAAATATTCAAATGTCCGCCAAAGTCACCAAGGAGGCCATACTCTCAGCTGGAGCAATCGATACCCCTAAACTGCTGATGCTATCCGGCATAGGACCCCAAGAGGTTTTAGAACCTTTAAATATTCCCGTTTTGCATGATTTAAAGGTGGGCGAGAATCTCCAAGATCATGCAGTGGCCTGTGCATTTCTCAAACTCAATGGAGAACCGTTGGATAAAAATATTCTCTCCGATTCTCTCTATCAATATTTATTACATCGCGAAGGACCCTTAAGTACCATTGGGGTGATGAGCATTGCTGGCTTTGTGAAGCTAAATCGAACCAACTCGGAATATAATTCCCACCCTGACATACAAATCTTGCATGCCATTGCCAGGATTGGAGATGTGGCTACCTTAAACACCTTCCTGGTGGGGCAAAGTATCAAGGATGAGCTGCGATACCATTTGCTGGAAGTCCAAAAACATCATCACGTTATGGTGGTATTTATACTACTCTCAAAGCCCAAATCTCGTGGTAACCTTCGCATAAAATCCACCTCCCCTCAAGAACCACCAATAATAAATGCCAATTATTTTGAACATCCCGACGATTCGGAAACTCTAATTGAGGGACTAAAATACCTAAGCGATTTTGTCAACACCACAGGATTCCGTCGAAAAAATGCCGATATTATTCAACTTCCCTTGGAGGAATGTAATCGTTTGCTATTCAAATCTGCGGAATATTGGAAATGTTATTTGAAATATATGTCTACGACATGTTATCATCCGGTGGGTACGGCAAAAATGGGTCCAGCGGATGATGAGAGCTCTGTTGTGAATCGCAGACTCCGAGTGAGGGGTGTCGAAAATCTTCGAGTGGTAGATGCCTCGATTATGCCTCTGCTTACCAGTGTCAATACAAATGCTCCCACCCTGATGATTGCCGAAAAGGCAGCGGATCTTATCAAGGTGGATTGGGAAGAAATTTAGAAAAGTTCTCAATAATATTTTTAAAAACTAAATTGTTTTTTTAATTAATAAAAACTAGATTTAAAAAATCTATTTTTAAAAAATTAAGGACCAAGAATAGACTTAAAAAATATTTTAAAAAAATTAAGGGCAAAGGATAGGCTTTGAAAGCATATTTTTAAAAAATCCACGCCTGTCTATGGAGCCCAAAAATATTTTTAAAAAATTAAGGGCAAATAATAGACCTTGAAAAAATATTAAAAGAAAACCTAAGATCTTGAAGAAATATTAAAAAAACCTGAGGGCAAAGGATAGATCTTGAAAAAATATTTTTAAAAAATTAAAAACATCCACGCCTATTGGTAGACCCCTAAAAAATAATTTTAATAAATCTACACCTTGGTTAGACCCTTGAAAATATATATAAAAACCAGTAAGGTAAGTAGTAAAGTCGGACTGGGCCGACTATATGATACCCTTCACCGCTTTAAGTATATTCTACATATGTATCCTTACAATTACATGTCAATGTTCCCTCGAAGGAACATTCTCATGTCTTTCTACAGCCTATGCTAAATATAATTTTATTCGGGCAGATTAAGAGTCGCCTGCGTACCTTGGGAAAAGTCTCCATGTGATACGTTGTGCAAAATTTCGTGTTAATCCGACTAACATTAGGAGATTGGTGCACCATTCATGTAAAATCGGACGAATGTATATGTGGGAGCTACCTCAAAATCTGAAACAATTTTCCCGAAACTTACTTACACATCATTCTAGATCCAATTTAGTACTCTATGCCAAATTTCGTGCAAATCGAAGGATATATAGGGACTTTGGTGCACCATTACCTTAAATCGGACGAAAATATATATGGGAGCTATATCTAAATCTGAACCGATTTTCTCGAAACTTAGCACACATGATTATAGGCTTAATTCAGTAGGCTGTAACAAATTTCGTGCAATTCGTAAGATATATAGGGACTTTGGTGCGTCATTTACCTCAAATCGGACGAAACTATATATGGGAGCTATATCTAAATCTGAACCGATTTTCACGAAACTTAGCACACATCATTCTAGGCTTAATTCATTAGGCTGTGCCAAATTTCGTGCAATTCGAAAGATATATAGCGACTTTGGTACCTCATTTCCTTAAATCGGACGAAACTATATATATGAGCTATATCTAAACCTGATCCGATTTTCTTAAAACATGACACACATCATTCTAGGCTTAATCCAGTAGGCTGTGCCAAATTTCGTGCAAATCGAACGATATATAGGGACTTTGGTGAACAATTTACCTTAAATCGGACGAAACTATATATGGGAGCAATGTATAAATCTGAACCGATTCTCATGAAACTTAGCACACATCATTCTAAACCTAATATAGTACCATATGCCGAATTTCGTACAAATCAAAATATATATAGGGACTTTGGTGCCTCATTTACCCTAAATCGGACGAAACGATATATGGGAGCTATATCTAAATCTGAACCGATTTTCAGGAAACTTAGCACACATCATTCTAGGCTTAATTCATTACGCTGTGCCAAATTTCGTGCAATTCGAAAGATTTACAGCGACTTTGGTGCCTAATTTATCTTAAATCGGACGAAAATATATATGAGGGCTATATCTAAATCTGAACCGATTTTCACGAAACTTAGCACACACCATTCAAGGCTTAATTCAGTAGGCTGTGCGAAATTTCGTGCAATTCGAAAGATATATAATGTCTTTGGTGCCCCATTTACCTTAAATCGGACGAAAATATATATGGGAGCTATATTTAAATCTGAACCGATTTTTCCCAATTTCAATAGGGTTCGTCCTTGGGCCAAATAAGTGACCTATGCCAAACTTTATCCAAATCGGATCATAAATGCGACCTGTACTTTTTTCACAAAATACATGGACGGACATATATATGATTCTATGCATATTCTCAAAAGGAACCATGGGTCTATTTCGATTCCTTTCGTTATATGGGGACGACCCCAAAAAGGGGGGCGAATATTGAAAATTCTTTGTAGGGAGATTTGTTACCATATACGACTACAAAATATCGGAGTGCAGCGAATTCGATTGAAAAACGCGATCAAGAACCCCAAAATACCTAAAATTGGGGGTGCATTTTTATTGGGTCCATTCCAAAAAAATTGACCTATATTTATAATTTTTTTTGTGGAGAGCTTTGGTACCTATTAAGAACTCAAAATACTAAATTACAGCCAATTCGGTGGAAAAATACGATCAAAACCCCAAAAGTACTGAAAATTAGGAGGTACCGTTATATAGGGGGCTACCAGAAAAAGTGGACCTATATTTATAATGTTTTGTGGAGACATTTAGTATCCAATAAGAACTCAATGTAACAAATTTCAGCGAATTGGGTTGAAAAATGCGCTCACGAATACCAAAAGACCGAAAATTGGGGGGTATCGTTATATGGGAGCTATGCCTAAACGTGGACCGATATATCCCACCTTCGAACTTGACCTGCCTGCATACAAAAGACAAACCTATGCAAAATTTCAGCACCCTATTTCAATTCCTTCAGAAGATAGCGTGATTACAACAGACGGACGGACATGGCTAGATCGTCTTAGAAAAAAAAACTAATTTTAAAAAATCCACGCCTGTCTATGGACCCCAAAAACTAATTTTAAAAAATCCACGCCTGTCTATGGACCCCAAAAACTAATTTTAAAAAATCCACGCCTGTCTATGGACCCGAAAAACTAATTTTAAAAAATCCACGCCTGTCTATGGACCCGAAAAACTAATTTTAAAAAATCCACGCCTGTCTATGGACCCCAAAAACTAATTTTAAAAAATCCACGCCTGTCTATGGACCCCAAAAACTAATTTTAAAAAATCCACGCCTGTCTATGGACCCCAAAAACTAATTTTAAAAAATCCACGCCTGTCTATGGACCCCAAAAACTAATTTTAAAAAATCCACGCCTGTCTATGGACCCCAAAAACTAATTTTAAAAAATCCACGCCTGTCTATGGACCCCAAAAACTAATTTTAAAAAATCCACGCCTGTCTATGGACCCCAAAAACTAATTTTAAAAAATCCACGCCTGTCTATGGACCCCAAAAACTAATTTTAAAAAATCCACGCCTGTCTATGGACCCCAAAAACTAATTTTAAAAAATCCACGCCTGTCTATGGACCCCAAAAACTAATTTTAAAAAATCCACGCCTGTCTATGGACCCCAAAAACTAATTTTAAAAAAATCCACGCCTGTCTATGGACCCCAAAAACTAATTTTAAAAAATCCACGCCTGTCTATGGACCCCAAAAACTAATTTTAAAAAATCCACGCCTGTCTATGGACCCGAAAAACTAATTTTAAAAAATCAACGCCTTGATAAAATATTTTCCTAATTTATTATATTTTTATTAGAATAATAATATTAACAAATACACAAGAGACGTCAGGTGTTAATTTTTTTTGGCAACCAAGCGTCTGATCTGATCTATTGATCTACTCAAATATTTGGGTTTAGAAGCTGTTAATTTTTTATTTCGACAATCGAAGTTATTTTTAGACCTTTCTCAAGGTTGTTCCGAGCCATAGGGTCTGAAGAGCTTATTTATATTTTTAATTATCTCCAACTAAGTATAACCAGCTTTACCCACTTATCTATATTGTTGGGTAATTAAAATGTATCACCTCACCGATAACAGGCCAACAATTGTTATTCCTTGTAAACAAACCCGAACTCGGAGAGAATAATAGATTAGGACGATACACGAAAAAAAAAATAAAAAAAAACAGATAAACAAAATGTAGATGTAATAAAAGGTTTAAATTGTGTAAATAAATAATTTTTTTTTCTAAAAAAATAAATGACAGTGGTTTTCAAATGTGGATTTTTTAAAAAAATTTTTTCAAGGTCCCAACAAAGTCGTGGATTTTTTAAAAATATTTTTTTTAAGGTCCCAACAAAGGCATGGGTTTGTTTAGGATTTTTAAAAATATTTTTTTTAAAGGGTCCAGAACAGGCGTGGATTTTTTAAAAATAATTTATTAAATGCCCGAACCACTGTTCCCCAATAAAGGGCATATATTGGCGCCCCAAGTCTCTGTAAACTTGGATTTTTAAAAAATATTTTTTCAAAGTCCCTATAAAGGCGTGGATTTTTTAAAAATATTTTTTCAGAGGTTCGAACCACTGTTCCCCAATAGCCGGCATATATTGGCGCCCCAAATCTCTGTAAACTTGGATTTTTAAAAAATATTTTCCCAAGGACCCTACAAAGGCGTGGATTTTATAAAAATATTTTTTCAGAGGTCCGAACCACTGTTCCCCCCAATAGCCGGCATATATTGGCGCCCCAAATCTCTGTAAACTTGGATTTTTAAAAAATATGTTCCCAAGGACCCTACAAAGGCGTGGATTTTTTAAAAATATTTTTTTCAGAGGTCCGAACCACTGTTTCCCCCAATGGCCGGCATATATTGGCGCCCCTTGTTTTTCTAATTTTTATGGGGTGTGTTTACAAAAAAAGCTTTTGCTTGACTTTGTTTTTGTATTTTTTTTCTGCAACAAAGCTTTACCCCCTCTGGAGCACGCTGTAAATTACAAAAAAAAATTCTGGCTTGCCGGCAAAAACAACAACAACAACGACAACAAAATGTAAATAGAAATAAAATGCAAATTGTGACAGTTCGGTAATGCATTGCTGCAATAACAATTAGAATGCCGTGCATTTTTCCTGATCGCTCGAAAAATGATTTCACTATAAAAAGATCAGCAAAAGTCAACAACAAATTTAGTTCGGAATAGGTGTTTAACTAAGTGCAACCACTAGAGGAGAATACGCGATTTTAAGTGGAATATTTTCGTTTTTTCGGTTCGATTCGACATTCCATTTCGATATTATGGATTTTTTATCAACGGAATGTGCTGCCCGCTCGGCAGGTCCAGCCAATACCCTGATGACACTGCTGCTACAGACTTTGATATCGAAATTTTGTTCGTTAAGTGATCGTTCGCATTGGCCCAAGGATTACGGGGAGGAGATTATGAAAAATGGTAACAATGAAGAGATCTTCTAAAATCGGGACGAGAATAAAGTAAAGGGTTTCATTTCATTAGGTATACAGGATTATGATTTTGTGGTAGTTGGCTCGGGATCAGCAGGTTCTGTGGTGGCTGGTCGCCTAAGTGAAAATCCCAAATGGAAAGTTTTACTGCTGGAGGCAGGAGGAGATCCTCCCATTGAAACAGAGGTAAGATAACCAACAAGAGGATTTTTTAAAAAATATTTCTTCAAGACCAAGGATTTTTTCTATAGAAAAAAGTCTTCCTCTGGGGGGCCAGAGGAATTTTTTTCTATAGAAAAAAGTCTTCCTCTGGGGGGCCAGAGGAATTTTTTTCTATAGGAAAAAAAGTCTTCCTCTGGGTGGTCCAGACGAATTTTTTTCTACAGGAAAAAGTCTTCCTCTGGGGACCAGAGGAATTTTTTTCTATAGAGTCCAGAGGATTTTTTTCTATAGAAAAAAGTCTTCCTCTGGGGGTCCAGAGGAATTTTTTTCTATAGAAAAAAGTCTTCCTCTGGGGTTTTTTCCAGAGGAATTTTTTTCTTCCTCTGGGGGGCCATAGAAAAAAAAAGTCTTCCTGTGGGGGTCCAGAGGAATTTTTTTCTATAAAAAAAGTCTTCCCCTGGGGGAGCCAGCGGAATTTTTTTCTATAGAAAAAAAGTCTTCCTTCGGGGGGCCAGAGGAATTGTTTTCTATAGAAAAAAGTCTTCCTCTGGGGGACCAGAGGAATCCTCATAATTTTTATTTGTTTTCTCTTTGCAGTTCGTCGGCTGGCACATGTCCACCCAATTCTCCGACTGGGATTGGCAATACCACACCGAACCGAATGGCAAGGCCTGTATGGCCATGGAGGGGGAAAGCTGTCACTGGCCTCGAGGCAAAATGTTGGGCGGAACCAATTGTATGAATGCCATGATTTATGCGCGCGGAACTCGTGCCGACTTCGACGATTGGCGTGATCGTGGTAATCCAACCTGGGGCTATGATGATGTGCTACCCTATTTCCGCAAGGCAGAAGATTTGCGGTCCACACGAGGTGACTATAAGCCCGGAGATCATGGTGTGGGTGGACCCATGATTATCAACAATTATGTATCGGATAATGAATTTCGGGAAACCATTAAGGCCGGCATGGGTGAAATGGGTTATGGTACGGCGCCAGATTTCACGGAGGGTTCATGGGTGGGTCAAATTGATATTTTGGGTACCCAACATGAGGGTCGACGTATTACCACGGCCAAATCGCATTTGGATAAAAATCGCCAGAATCTGCATGTGGTGCGCTATGCCCAGGTGAAGAAGGTGAATTTTGATAAGAACAAGCGGGCGACGGGAGTGACATTTGTCCTTAAGGGGAAAAAGGAATTTACGGTAAATGTGAAGAAGGAGGTAATTTTGGCAGGTGGGGCTCTGGGTACTCCACAGATGTTGATGTTGTCGGGTGAGTGGTTCAGAACTGATTTTTTTTTTTTTTTTTGAATTTAAAATTTTCACTCTCGATTTTTTTCAGGTGTGGGTCCTGCCAGCCATTTGAAGTCTTTGGGTATCCCCGTCCTCTTGGATTTACCGGTGGGTCAAAATCTCAAGGATCATGCCAGTCTGCCGGTGGTTTTCACCATTGACAAATCCACAGCACGCAAACCCACCGAAGAGGAGCTGGTGGATGCCATGTATAATCTGATTATGGGTCGTTATAGTAAACTGTTGCATCACGAGGCCACAGCCCTGACAGGATTTATTAATACCACCTCCCTCGACGGACCCAACCCCGATATTCAAACCACTAATTTCTTTAGTTTGATGCAATCTCCCGAACTGAAGGGTTATATCAAGGCTACTGGGTTCAACAAACAAGTAGCTGCCTCCATTCTGAAGGCCAATGAGAACACCAATACCTACATTACCTATCTGCTGCATCTGAAACCCTTCTCCAAGGGTCATGTGGAACTGAGAAGTTCCAATTACTTGGACGCTCCTCTCATCCATGCCAACTACATGTCCGATGAACGTGATGTTGATACCTATATAAGGGCACTGAATATCTATTCCAAATTACCCGACACCAAGGCCTTTAGGGAACGTGAAACGGCTCTCTATAAAATCGATTTACCCGCCTGCAATTCGCATCGCTATCAGTCCGATGATTATTGGCGTTGTTATATTCGCCACATGACCACAACCGTTTATCATCCTGTGGGTACCACAAAAATGGGACCATCATCAGATGCCACCACTGTGGTGGATTGGCGTCTTCGGGTACATGGCACAAAGGGACTTCGTGTCGTCGATGCCAGTATTATGCCGGACATCGTTGCGGCCAATACAAATGCTGCCATTATCATGATCGGTGAAAAGGGTGCGGATATGATTAAAGAGGATTGGCAGGATGGCAAGGGGGATCATCAGGAATTGTGATGAGATTTTTTTCGTATATTTTTTTTTCCAATGTGTGTGTATATATGTATGTGTAAATAATATTAATATAGAATTTTCTCCTTAGTGTAACATAACGAAATAATGAATAAAATTTTGAATATGAAATAATCTAAAAATAAAAAATTCTTCTGGACCCCAGAGGAAGACTTCTTTCTGTAGAAAAAAATTCCTCTGGACCCCAGAGGAAGATTTTTTTTATAGAAAAAAATTCCTCTGACAACAGAGGAAGACTTTTTTTCTATGGAAAAACATCCTCTGGACTTTTTGTCTTCCTCTGGATCTCAGAGGAAGACACTTTTTAAATAATCCACCACTGTCTATGGACTCCAAAAAATATTTTTAAAAAAAATTCCTCTGGACCCCCAGAGGAAGACTTTTTTCTATAGAAAAAAATTCCTCTGGACCCCCAGAGGAAGACTTTTTTCTATAGAAAAAAATTCCTCTGGACCCCCAGAGGAAGACTTTTTTCTATAGAAAAAAATTCCTCTGGACCACAGAGGAAGACTTTTTTCTATAGAGGACCCCAGAGGAAGACTTTTTTTCTATAGAAAAAAATTCCGCTGGCTCCCCCAGGGGAAGACTTTTTTTATAGAAAAAAATTCCTCTGGACCCCCACAGGAAGACTTTTTTCTATAGAAAAAAATTCCTCTGGACCCCCAGAGGAAGACTTTTTTCTATAGAAAAAAATTCCTCTGGACCCCCAGAGGAAGACTTTTTGACTTCCTCTGTTGTCCATAGGAAGACTTTTTGTCTTGCTCTGGATCCCACACCTGGACTATGGAATTCAAAAAAAATATGTTTAAACCAGTGAGCGGAGCAGTATAGTCGGACGGGGCCGACCATACGATACCCTACACAACTACCACGGAACTCTAACTTTCTGCGGATTTTTCCTGCTAGCCTGGGAAATTTTTCCTGATATTTGCATCCTCTTGACTGATTAGATGTTAACAGCTCCTCTTCCTTACACTGACATATATTCCGAATATTACAAATATTCAGTACAGCCCTTCTACTTACATGTGCAGATTCCCTTCACCGTGAGTTGTATTCTGTTGTTCGGCTTATAATTGTGGCCTATAAATCGACAAAAAAAAAAAAAAAAAAAAACAAAAAAAACAACAAAAAAATTAAGTTTTCGATCCACTTTAGCCCAAAATTATTACCTGATCATCAACGAAAATTATAGGCGTTGTCCTTGACCATAACTGGAACCTCTTGGAAATTTTTAAAGCGATCAGCGCTATATTTCCTTCCTCTTCTCGGGTCTATATTCTTCAGGAGTAAATATATATGCCATAGAATACACATTTCGACCCTCTAAATAGTGACCGATCTTAATCAAAACAGGCATGTTTATTCTTTGGCCCGATCCCCTTTTTCATGTAAAATTACGTGATGTTCGGGAGATAATTGTGGCCTCTGAAGCAACCAGCAAAACCGACAAAAATTAAGTATTTGGTCCATTTCATCTCCTAAATAATTATCGATCTATTCCAAAAACAATAGGGGTCTTCATTGGGCAGAACCCATCCTACATGCAAAATTTCGTGAAGATTGGTCCGTAACAGTGGCCTGTTTACAAATTATAATCGACGGACGGAAAGATTGCCAATTATAATGCCAATTGAAAGATATATAGGGACTTTGGTACTCCATTTACATTAAATCGGACGAAGATATATATGGTAGCTATATCTAAATCCGAACCGATTTTCTCGGAACTTAACACACATCATTCTAGAACTAATTTAGCACACTATGCCAAATTTCGTGAAAATCAAAGAATATATAGGGACTTTGGTTCACTATTTACATAAAATCGGATGAGAATATATATGGGAGCTATATCTAAGTCTGATCCGATTTTCTCGAAACTTAACACACATCATTCTAGGCTTAATTCATTACGCTATGCCAAATTTCGTGCAAATCGAATGATATATAGGGACTTTGGTATACCATTTACATAAAATCGGACAAAACTATATATGGGAGCTATATCTAAATCTGAACCGATTTTCACGAAACTTAACACACATCATTCTAGACCTAATTCAGTACTCTATGCCAAATTTCGTACAAATCGAAATATATATATATATATATATAGGGACTTTGGTGCACCCATTACATAAGATCGGACGAAAATATATATGGGAGCTATATCTAAATCTGAACCGATTTTCACGAAGCTTAGCACACGTCATTCTAGACTTAATTCAGTACGCTATGCCAAATTTCGTGCAAATCAAATGATTTTCAGAGACTTTGGTGCACCAGTTACCTAAAATCTGGCGAAACTATATATGGGAGCTATATCTAAATCTGACCCGAAACTTAACACACATCATTCTAGGCTTAATTTAGTATTCTATGCCAAATTTCGTGCAAATCAAGATATATATAGGGACTTTGGTGCACCATTTACATTAAATCGGACCAAAATATATATGGGAGCTATATCTAAATCTGAACCGATTTTCATGAAACTTAGCACACAACATTTTGGACCTAATTCAGTACTCTATGCCAAATTTCGTGCAAATCGAAAGATATATAGGGACTTTGGTGCCTATATCGGACGAAAATATATATATATATATATATAAATCTGAACCGATTTTCACCAATTTCAATAGGGTTCGTCCTTGGGCCAAATAATTGACTTGTGTCAAATTTCATCCAAATCGGATCATAAATTCGACCTGTACTTTGTTTACAATTTAACTTCTACAGACGGACGGACGGTCATGCATAAATCGACTCAGAAAGTGATTCTATCCATATTCTCAGAAGGAAGCATGGGTCTATCTCGATTATTTTTGCCTGTTACAAACATATGCACAAAGACATAATACCCTGTACCACAATGTGGTGAAGGTTATAAAAAATAGCCTGACAAGAACCCTGATTTATTGTTTTTAAATCCAAACCCCCGACTAAGGACTTTGAAAAATGTTTTTAAAAAAATCCGCGGCTAGTTTATTATTGAGATATTGACAACATTGTTGATAGCTAAGCTTTTCTCTGTTATAAAGCTTAAATATAAAGCTTTTAGCAAATTCAACAACCATATAACAATCTTGTCTGAATTTTTGTAAGGAAATGTTAGATTCATGTTTTGGCATTGTCGGAGTATTCAAAGCAGGTTTGATGGAGTCCTCTAAGAAGTATATGAGAAAGGATGTCAGGATTATGCGATGTAGAATATTTTTACCAATAGAAGAGTAATTTCATAAGGTGAATTTAACCTTTAGACTAAAGAGTATATTAATAACACCTCCTCCCCTGAGAACTCCACCCAATAAATAAAATTGCATGCAAAAGTTTTTTTAATAAAAAAATCAGAGAACCGTTAATTTCACTTTTTTATAAAAAAAAATCAGGGAACCGTTAATTTCATTGAACAATTAATCAATTTCATGTCATAGTTTTTTCAAAATTCCCCAAAAAATTGTTGTACTAATCGACAATCACATATCGACCCCCACATGAATTGTTAACGAATTGTGTGTGTCTGCTGCCGCAGACACCGACTTGATTACATGCCTCCGGATACATAGATTACGACCAATCAAATACGTAATATAATTCGAAATAAAAAAATGTACGTGTCATTCGTAGCGGAGTGATTCGATTTGAATAGCTTTGATTATTTTTTTATGTGTGTGAGTGTGTTAGTATTTTTTTGCATTTGAAGAAGATCGTGTTTTAGTATCGGGTAGGGGTATCGAAAAATAATCAATTGAATTGCCCGAGTAGTGGTGTTTATTTTTTGACAAGTGCCGAAAAATTAAGTTCATGTGAATATGTGGCCGGCCCCTGCCCTTTTTTATTTTTGGAGTCGGACAACATAATATTTGTCAATAGTGAAAGTTGTTAATTTCGATTACATTTGTGTGTGTGTGTTTTGGAACAAACTTGTTAAGAATTTCAATTAATGATTACCGATTTGGTATTAAGTAATTGAATTAAGTGGGGTTGTAAATATTAATGAGGGGGATTTAAAAACAAATGGGAAGAAGAGCTCGTGCCATAAGAATTTAGGTTAGAGAAGAAAGAGTGAATTTTTTAAAAATATGTTTTTGGGGTCCATAGACAGGCGTGGATTTTTAAAAAAATATTTTTTTTTTAAATTTGGGGCCCTAGAAAGGTGTGGATTTTTAAAAAATATATATTTTTTAATCTTTTGGGGCCATAGACAGGCGTGGATCTTTTAAAATTATTTTTCGGGGTCCATAGACAGGCGTGGATTTTTTAAAATTATTTTTTGGAGTCCATAGACAGGCGTGGATTTTTTAAAATTATGTTTTGGGGTCCATAGACAGGCGTGGATTTTTTAAAAATATTTTTTTGGGGTCCATAGACAGGCGTGGATTTTTTAAAAATATTTTTTGGGGTCCATAGACAGGCGTGGATCTTTTAAAATTATTTCTTTGGGTCCATAGACAGGCGTGGATTTTTTAAAAATATTTTTATGGGACCATAGACAGGCATAGATTTTTTAAAAATATTTTTGTGGGACCATAGACCGGCATAGATTTTTTAAAAATATTTTTGTGGGACCATAGACCGGCATAGATTTTTTAAAAATATTTTTGTGGGACCATAGACAGGCATAGATTTTTTAAAACTATTGTTTGGGGTCCATAGACAAGCGTAGGGGATGATAGATACCAAGCAACGGCTCTGATTGTCATTAACATGGCGAAGTCCCGGCTTATCTTGGTCCCCCTTTCATCTCAATTATGGACACTGACCTCCCCGTGGTGCCACCTGGGGTAGCTATTTTCATAACCCGATGAAATAGTAAGCTAATATGTGCCGCGAGTTCACCCATAAGAACTATAAAAAATGGGTTGAGGCGTCGGGTTAGTTGCCCACTCTCCGCAAACCCAACCTACTATACAAAAGCTAAAAAAAAAGAAAACCAAACCCACCTAATGTTGACGGCCCCCGCAAACGTATAAAGGACC